TTTAAAATAAGATATTTATTCTCTATTTGATTATGTTTATCCGCAGTTAGTTACACAAATTCAAACATGGAGCTTTAATAAATTGTACTTCTACATAATTTACTTGTAATCTTGAATTTTAAGTAATATACATTAATATACAATACTTTCATGAATAAAAATGGTTTTTAAGGGTTTTTGTCAAATGTTTTATAATATAGTATATAGATATTCTAAAGAATGTGTTGAAAACAAATCCTTAAATTTTTCAATTTGAACTTCTTTTTTAATTAATCTATCAGAACGAAAATCTCCTTAAAAATCTTTATTTTAAATAACTTGTTGGTGATGAACACATCCAAGTAACCAACAAAAGAGGCTTTGTTTTGACACTCAACTCTCTCTTTCGTGGTTTTCTTGATTTCTGTATAGAAACAAAATAACCCAAAATACATGCTTTCTTTTTCTTCCGTTACATGCTCCTTTCGATACACAATTACACAACTCCATTTTCACATTTTCCCATGTGGGAAAACCCAGAAAACAGAGTATCCGTGACCAGTTTTACCCCTACAAGATACCACTACAAAAACACAAGCAGATATCTATCTATCTAAATTCTAAACCAAAAGGGTTTCTGGCGATTTGCTCCTTTTGGAATCTTTGGGGATATTTATCAAGAAAAGATCAGATCAGATCCAATCCATTAAGCAGTAGGGTAGAAAGGGTGGGATGGATTTCTGGCCAGAGTTTCTTGCAAGCAGTTGGGGTAAAGAATTTGTGGCTGGGGGATTTGGGGGAATTGCAGGCATCATGGCTGGATACCCACTTGATAGTGTACGAGTTCGCCAACAGAGCTCACCCTCTGGCTCAGCTTTCACCATCCTTAAGAATGTTGCTGCTACAGAAGGACCATTTGCTCTTTATAGGGGCATGGCTGCTCCCCTTGCTTCTGTTACTTTCCAGGTTATCTTTCACTTCTTCTTCATCATCATCATCATCATGCCAATTACAGCTTCATAGTTCCTGTTAAACGTCTCATCTTTCGTTTAGGATCTGTTAGTGGGCGTTTGGTTTGCATGATGGAATTTTATGGAATTGGAAATTTGAGAATCGGAATGGAATTTGACCACGTGTTTGGTTTGATGGAATTGGAATCTTTGGATATCCATGGAATGGTGAAATCTTTAATCCAAGGAATTCAAAGGATTCCTATATATTCAATACGTGAACCAAACATAGGAATTGAAATTCTGTCAAGGGCTGTTTGCTTCATTGAATTCAAGGATTTCATGGGAATTGGAATGGTCAATTATTTTGACCAAATTCCAATTCCTTTGTTTGCTACACATATTAAAAACATAGGAAACCTTTGAATTCCATTGGATTAAAGATTTCACCGTTCCATGGGATATCCCAAAGATTCTAATCCCATTCCACTTCCATCCAACTAAACCTTTGATGAGTTCCAATTCCACCGAATTCCATTTTGTGAACCGAACGCCTCATTAGAGTCCCAAGTCGACTAGATTTGGATAATTTTCTTTTCTGAGAATAATTTAATGGGTTACACACTATCAAAACTAATGTCTACTACTCTTGGGAATCTAATGTTTAGGACAATCCATTAATGCAATACTCATCTAGCCCCTTTGGACGGTCGGGCACAATCACAATTTGTGCCATCTAGATCCACTGGAGGGGGCATGTTAAGAGTCCCACGTCAGGCTAGACTTGGACCACTTCTCTTTTATATATGTTGGAGCCACCTTCTCTCCTCAAAATACTTTATTTGGAGAATAATCTAATGTGACTCTACATATTCTCACAAGGTCTTATTTGGTTTTCTTTGTCAACTTATGATTAGAATCAATTGATGTAGACGTTCTTACGGATCTAGTACTACGTGTGTCAGGTTCGAATTCCACGGATGCAATAACTAGTTAGTGTCAAAGATGACAGAGGCCAAAAGCAGTTCTAATAGTCTGACAATATTTCCAATAATCAATAATAGGCAGACTAAGGGGCTGTTTGGTTGGTTTTCTATTAAGTCCTGAATGGATAAAGTTGTCTACTTGGATTAATCCGTCTGTATAAATGAGGGAGATTTTTGTTTGTGAGACTTTTTTCCATAGATGGAAGGAGTGTGTTCTTTAATTGGAAGGGGCAGGTTTGGCAAAAACTTGGCCTTCTGCATAAAGCTCCTACCAAGAAGCTTACTAAAAAGCCACTTTCTATATTATTAAGCCACTAGCTCACTACCAAAGAGCCATGTATAGCTGACCGAATAAGCTGCAAGTCCCATTAAGCGCATCAACCTGCTAAAAACATACCCTAATATGGATTGAGAAGGGGGGGGGGGGGTCTGGTGAACCAAATAGTTCTAATAATCTGACTATTTTTCCTTGCAGAATGCCATGGTTTTTCAAATCTATGCTATCTTGTCACGGGGTTTTGACTCGTCTAGTTCTTCCACCGAACCCCCATCTTACAAAGGTGTTGCTCTAGGAGGTGTAGGAGCAGGGGCTATACAAAGCCTAATGCTTTCCCCTATCGAATTGATCAAGATCCGACTACAATTACAAACCCGTGTCCAACATGATCACATAGAAAGAGGTCCACTAAGTGTTGCAAAGAACATCCTAAGAACAGAAGGTTGGCGAGGACTCTACAGAGGCTTAACAATCACAGCTTTAAGAGATGCACCTTCACATGGTTTCTATTTTTGGACATATGAATTCATGAGAGAAAAACTTCATCCGGGCTGCAGGACAAGTGGCCAAGAAAGCTTTAATACAATGCTCGTTGCTGGTGGTCTTGCAGGCGTTGCTAGTTGGGTTTGTTGCTATCCTTTAGACGTGGTTAAAACTAGACTTCAAGCTCAAACACCCACTTCGACGGTAAAATATAACGGAATTGTGGATTGCTTAAGGAAGAGTGTACAGAAGGATGGATACAGTGTGCTGTGGAGAGGACTGGGAACCGCGGTTTCTAGAGCTTTTGTGGTTAACGGAGCTATTTTCACAGCCTATGAAACCGCCTTACGGGTCTTGTTCAACAACAATGGTTGTACTAATACCAATGACAATCAAAAAACCCTTCAAACAGACAATGCTATATAAACAAATTAGAAGAAGATATATGAAAGGGAAATTAATAGAAATAGCCATTTTCAGGCTTTGGGTTCATCTCTTAGCAATTTCTCTCCCAATATTTCAAAAATATCCCTCCTCCGTAAATAGCAACTCCTCAACTTACGAAGGGGTCAAAGTGTAAAAAAAAGAAGTTTCTCAACATGGTTTGCAAGTACAAGAACCAAATCTATAATTAGTCCCAACACTACCTTTATCTAACTTACAGATTTGGTCCTTATACTTGCGGACCATGTTCAGAAACTTCTTTTTTTGTTTACATTTTGACCCCTTAGTAAATTGAGGAGGTACCACTTGCAGTAGTAGTGACATTTTGAAATATTGGGAGAGAAATGGCTGAAGAATGAATTCGAAGCCTGAAAATGGCTATTTTAGTTAATTTCCCTATTTGAAATTATCATCTGAAACGTGAATCTTGAAGTTCAGACTTCAGAAAACAACACATTATTTCTGAATGTGAATAAAGTGGAAAGTATGCAGCAATAGAGTTCAAGAAATCAGAAGTGAAATATCAAAGGATTCAAAGCAATAGAAGTAGATCAATCAGATAATTGGTTTGTCTCAATTTATAGTTGATAGTCATTCAGAATTTCATTGTAACTTTTCTTGTTATATATATATATCTTAACACAATGAATCAATCGTATTAAAGTTTGATTCTTGGAATCAGTAGCTACCTTCTGTTTCCCTACCAAGACTCATACCTGCAAATTCCACCATTCAATTCACAGCTTCTGCCAACATATGAGCATCATTATAGTTTCTAACAGCCTGCACAATTGCTCTAACATGTTTATAAGGATCTGAACAGTTGAAAATTGCAGAATCTATGAACACTCCATCACAACCCAATTGCATCATCAATGCAGCATCAGCAGGTGTTAAAATACCTCCAGAAGCAAAATGCACTACTGGAAGCCTACCCATTTGTTTAGTTTGAGCCAAAATGTCATAAGGTGCACCCAATTCTTTTGCAAATGTGAAGATTTCATCTTCATCCATGTTTGTTAGAACCCTAACTTTCCCCATTAGTTCCCTCACATTTCGAACTGTGTCAACAATGTTTCCTGATCCAGATTGATCACCTTGAGTTCTAATCATGGCTGCACCTTCTCGTACTCTCCTCAATCCCTCTCCCAAATCGCGACAGCCGCAGACGAAAGGGACTCGAAAGTTATGTTTGTTGATGAAGTTGCTGTCATCGGCTGCTGCAAGAAGCTCGTTTTCGTCAATGTAATCGACGCCAACCGCTTCGAGTATCTGGGCTTCAACGAAATGGCCGACTCGGGCTTTCGCCATTACCGGAATCGGAACAGACTCTTGGATTTGTTTGATAACAGCTGGATCGAGCATCCGTGAAATGGCGGAGGTAGGTGGTGATGGGTTTGATACAATCACACAAGAAGCTCCGGCGGATTCAGCGATCTTGGCTTGGTCAACGTCTGTGACGTGGATGATTGCACCGCCACTGAGCCTTTGAGCTAATCCAACCTTGACTGAAAAGGGATTCTGATCTTTCTTGTTGCCTAGATTAGATACAGTTGTGTTGCTGTAAATGGTGACTGCAGATTCGTCGTCGTTGGCCATGTCTGGTATGTGTTTGTGGAAATGCCTGAACCAAAAGTCGTAAACCTACAAAAGGTTTGAACAAGTGGATTGAATTGAAGTGGGAATCTATGTAGATAGAGAGGCTTAAGACATGGTGGCATGGCATCTTCCTGCCGAGGTTCGTCGGTGGCATCTTTTTTTGGGAATATGCAGAAAACCAATTTTGCATGATATCCCTGTCATATAACTCGGTTCATAATGATTTGATGAAATTTAAACTGCAATCCAATTCAATCCAAACTGTACATGTTAATTAGGTTAGTAGTTTGGTATATTAAAATATTTTTTTAATTTACTTTTTTATTTATAATTTTTTTTCATCTTCAGTCATTTGATACAATTTATTCATACTTCGTACATTTTACGTATATCACATTCAAATAATTTTCTCAATTTATATATATATATATATATATGTTCACAGTTACTGAACATACGATAGAGTTATATAGAGATAGAGGATAGATATGTGTATATAAAGAGGGTACGTGACAGTGTAATTATCTAATGTACATATTAATAGAAACTCAACAAAAATCCAAGAAATAAAAAGATATTGGGTTCATTGGATTGGGTTAGATTCAAATAATAGTAACTCAATAATTACGGTTTTGAAATTTACAACTCGATTAGACATCCGGTTAAGTTATTTCGCGTTGAATTGGATTGGGTTGATAAGGCTGGTCGGATTTTTGAGCACCCATACATATAATATTAAAGGGTTGTTTGTTAATCACATCAGATTTAACAAGATTTAGTTTATTCAATCGGTTATATATAATTGTTTAGTAATAGCTTAATTATCAATGATGGATCTAGAAATTTTTTCAAGCAGTGACACCATTCGACTATGAGAAACAAATATATAAATATTTTTCACAAAATCATCATTGGTCTGTTGGCAATTAAAAGTTAAAAACTAAGAAAATTGTACTAAGGGTCCGTTTAGTTTGTAGGAATGTAATGAATTTGAGGGGAGTTGAATTTCAAACTCACTCCAATCCCGTGTTTGGTTTGTAGGATTGCTCGGATTTGAAATCCATCAAAAATAGGATTTTGAAATCCCACAGGGGTGGTTGGGATTCCATGAGATTTCGTAGAATTTGTATATAATAATATTTAAAAAGATGTTAAGAACATTCGTTTTCTAATAATCAGTAAATAAAAAAGATATTTCATAAAAAATTGGATTATATCCGATTAACATTGGATAACCGATCCAATCCATGATTGGATCGGTTCGATTCCATCCATTGGATTATCCTGGGATTGGATCCATCCAATATGTTAATTCAATCATATTCCCCAACAATGATAATAGTGCAAAATGAAATATAATTGTTTGGTAATTATTTACAATAAAATTATGGTGCTAAATAGTTAAAGGGGACCCATGATACAAAATCATTCAAATTATTTTAGAATCATTAAGCGATAGACTTTTTTTTACCAAACAAGATTCACCTATTAACAATTCAGATGCTATAGGATACTAATAGTCAAGAGTTAAACATTGGGGGTATGAATTGCAAATAACCCCAAGCCATAGGATACTAATAATTAATGGCTAAAGGGCTCATGGCCCTTGTGATTTGGATCCTATGTTATCTCCATTTTACATGCCTTTTTATTAAATGAAAAATATCTGACAAATAATAATATAAAATAAAGGTTTTTGTCATTTATATTTATCATGTGATAATATATATGTATATATATAGAGAAGGAGCGATCAAATACAAACCATCCAATTTGTATAAACTGTGCAAATCACTCTCATCTATTGATTTCATTGTTTAATCTTATGAAATTGTTTAATTTTATGAAATTATTTTATATAATTTTTTTTTATGAAGTTGTTTCATATATGGTTATGAAATTGTTTCATGTAATATTTAATGTAATTTTAATGAAACTGTTTCATGTATTTCTCTAAAATTAAAATAATGAAAATGATAATATCCATAATTAACACCCTCCATAATAAAAATTATTAATCAACCTCTCATAATTACAGAAAAATGAACAAAATGAAAAATTATGATTGATTGAATACGGTTTGTACAAACAACGTGATTTGCCAAGTAAACATCCCCCCCCCCCCCTCTCTCTCTATGTATATATATTTGTCCAATTGAATGCTCCTAATTCATTATGAATATGTTTTAATTATTAAAGGTATAATTTGAAATCATCACGCCATATGCCTTGTATCTACATGACGTTGTCAAGAACGCTTAGACAAGTTGGACCGGGCCAAACCAAGCACGTCCAGTGCTTTGTGTCCACACGACGCTATCAAGAACGCATAGGCATAAACATACAGAAAGTTCAAAATCAGTGATAAATTATATTTATTTGTTATTTATAATATGATATTTTAGTATTGTCTTAATATGAATCTTAGAACATCATCTTTAAGGTTTCATTCTTAATAACAAAGGGTTTCTTTTGATAACATACAAACACAATAGTATATGATCTGTAACAACCTTTTAATAAACTTAATTTCATAACTGATTCAAATATCAGGTCAATTAACTGTCATGAATAATTAAATTTTGACCCTTCTTGAATATCTTTTCTTAAAACGTACCATTTATTTGTCTCATACATTTATACCTTTAATGAACCATAACTAATATGATCTTAAGGATCTTTTACCGAACTCTTACATGATAAGCGTTTATCGAGTGTCACTTACTTTACCTGCAAATGTGACAAAAAATCGGAAATCTTACTCGACAAGGGACATAACAAGGAATCTTACTCGGTAAGTCAAGGATGAGACTCTGAGTCTCTGACTAGGGGTACTTAAAAACCCGACCAACCCAACCCAACCCAACGCGAAATAACTCAACCCCGAGCAACCTGATGTCTAATCGAGTTGTAAAATATGATTATTGAGTATTTGTTAATATGTACATTAGACAATTACACCATCACATACCCTCTTCATGTACATGTATTTTCAATCTATTATTCAACTCTATATAACTCTTTCGTATATATGTTTAGTATATGTAAACATATATATGCAAATTGAGAAAATTAATTGAATGTGATTTACTTAAGATTTAAGAAATATGAATAAGTTGTACTAAATTGCTGACGAGGAAAAATAAATGAGAAAACAACATATATCAAGGTTAAGAGTATATTTGGATGTACTAAACTATCAACCCAACCAACCTGTACGGTTTGGGTTGGGTTGGGTTGCACTTTGATTTGAGTTGGGTTGAGATTTTTCAAACCATAAAGATTGGATTGGTTATTCAAATGGCTTTAAACCAATCAACCTAACCCATAAACACCCTAACTCTGGCCGATAACATCATACAACATGATAAATGAGGGTAAAAACTCTTACCTATAATCGTTTATTAGGTAAGTGTTTGATTAACTGCCTGTGAATATTTAGGGTTTGTTTGGCTAATGATGATGAATGAAAATAAAAATGACAGAGAATGAAAATGAGAATAAATTTTCCTTCCCCCCCAAATTTAACCAAGAATGAAATTTTGGGCTTCTGAAGGAATGAGTCAATTATATTATAGAAAACCAAACAGTTTCTTTATTTTTATTCTCATTAATTATTACTTAGGGGTTGTTTGTTTACCTCTTAATAGTTCCATTAAGAGGTAACATCTAAATCGTTAAGAGGTGAATATTGTTTGATAAAAAAAATCTGCTTCTTAATGATTGTAAAACCCTCTGAATGATTTTGTATCTTGAATCTCCCTTAATCATTAAGAGCCCTAATCTCATTGTGCACAATTACCAAACAATTATATTTCATTTTGCATTATATCATGAGAACCTCTTAATCATTCTGACTACTTAATCATTCTACACCAAACCATTCAACAATTGCTAAACAACCCCTTAATAACTCTAACCAAACACCCCTTAAAAAAGCTATTGAAATGTCTCAGGTAAAAAATATGAGACAAAAATGCAAACTAAGAAATAGTCGAAGGATGAGTTGTGTAAATTGTTTCAAAGTCAAAATAGAGAGCAATTTTTTTGACCAAAATCGAAATCAAAGTTTGTCGCTGACCCTTGCGTTACATGTGACATCATTCACACTCTTGTTTTCCCTTGTCTCCCAGACTTGAAAATTCAAACCCTCTTTTTTGAGGCATTTTTACTACAAAAGATTGTACTTTGCTCATTACCCAGCTCCAGATAATAGATAATCGATAATTTCAATCCAATCCCATCGTTTTATCATCCAAAGTTTCGATTCGATTCGATGGTGCCTTGCTTCTCTCTTTTGATGGAATAATTTCAATGAAGAAATGCTTTTATTTTGTGAATGATACCTACTGAAGCAGAGAAAAGGGTGCAAAGAATTTGAAGAAAAATCATCAAAGTTAATTGTTAATTGGAGTGTTTGTGTGGGTATGAATGCGGTGGGAAGAAATGGGCAAAGATCTGGTTCATCGGGGGCACATCATCAGCGTCAATACTCCGATAACTACATAGAAAACAGTTCTTCGTCTAATGGCCAATGGCTACAGTCTACTGGTTTACAACATCTCCAAACACAAACTTCTAACTCTTCTTCATCTGTAGGTTTCTATTCTTCAATTTCATTACGCCTTCTCTTTTGTTTAATTGAATAGATGCTGGATCTGGTTCCGTATTCGTATTCGTATTTGTGGTTTGATTTGTTATTTAATCGGGCAGATGGACTTTGCTTACTATGGTGGTGGTGGAGTTCATGATTCACGAATGTATAATAATAATAATAGGAACAACAGTACAGTAAGCGGAGGGACTAATTTGTTCTCGCTGCCGTTGACGCCGCCGGGACGCCAGAAAAAGCTCGGTGGGGGCGGTGGTGGCAGTGATGACCCCGGTGACTTCAGCCCTGGTCTCTTAGATCTACATTCCTTCGATACAGAGCTTATTTCCGAGGTGGGTTTTACTTCATTGCTGGATAAATCATCATCATGATTTTAAGCCACTTTAGAGTTTTCATTGTATCTCGTTCTATAAGAAGATCACTCGTGAGGTAGTTGTGCTATCATTATACCCTAAAACATAATTTGTATGATTGTTACTCACTTTTCCAAGTTGTGTTCTGTATCTGATTATGAAAATGGTTGGCACATTTGGTTGTGCTGTCGCACCATCTCAAGTTTGAGGCATCTTTGGTTGGTTGGTTTTCCATTAAGTCATGTATGGATAAATGGATAAAGTGGATAAAGCTGTCCGTGTGAATTAATCTGTTTGTATAAATCTAAAAGGTTTTTGTTTGGGAGGGTTTTTTTCATAGAAGGAAGAAGCGTGTTCTTTTAATTGGGAGGAACAGGTCTAGAAAAAAAAACTTGGCTTTTTGTATACCCCCTATAAACTTACTGAATAAGCCACTTTCTATATCATTAAGCCACTACCAAACAGTTATGTATAGCTAACCGAATAAGTTGTGTGTCCTATTAAGCTCATTAAGCTGCTAACAAACCCACCCTTAGATTTATGATTCGCAGGAATTATAAATGCTGGCATTGCTAAAGGTTGTTTGTGTTCTTCTTTGATCGCTGATGGGTGTGTGCTTGTAGTTGTAGAGTTGGAACACATTTTGATATGCAATTCTGCAAAGGTTGATGATGAACTATTGGGCATAGAATCAAGAATCTGATTAGCATTTGATGATATAAGTCCTCATTCGACAGCATTTTTTTTGATGTGATAATTTGGTCCAATTGTATTGTATCTAAAGTCTGCTTACTTATGGCATGTTTGTTAGCAGATTAATGAGCTTAATAGGACTCGCAGCTTATTCAGTCAGCTATACATAACTGTTTGGTAGTGTCTTAATGGTATAAAAAGTGGCTTATTCAGTAAGCTTCTAGGGGGAGCTTATGCAGAAAGCCAAGTTTTTTCCAAATTTGGTCCTCCCAATTAAAAAGCACCCTTCTTCCATCTATGAAAAAACCCTCTCAAACAAAAACCTTCTCAATCTATACAGACAGATTAATCCATACAGACAGTTAATCCATATAGGACCTAATGGTAAACCAACCAAATTATTTAATGATATTTGTTCTCGTTTGACTATTTTTTTATCGATGATAATACATTATATATCCCAATTAAACAAAACCAAACGAACCTAGTATATTCCACGTGGAGGTGGGCGAGGTCTGGGGAGAGTAAGATGTATGCAGACCTGACCTCTACGCCAAAGAATAATGGTAATATATGCCGATTGATGTTCACTTTTCGGGTTTGCTGATATTCTTTCTTACCTGCAGGTGCCAATGGCTAGCATTCATGGTGCTTCGTTGCATAATTCTGCTCATGGCAGAAGCTTTGATGATGCAGACCCATATTATGCAAATACCAAACAGAGTAATAGACTTCGAGGTCTGCCAGAAAACAACCTTTCGAAAAGCTTTGCTCCAGATAAAGAAAAGGCTAGCTCCGTTGCAAAGATCAAAGTTGTGGTATGTTAATCATACTCCAATAGAACTTGAGAATTCTTGATTGTTTCAAGGTATTATTTTTAATAATACCCGTTTAATGGTGGATGAATTTATAGGTGCGAAAGCGACCATTGAACAAAAAGGAGTTAGCAAAAAACGAAGAAGATATCATTACTACTGAGAGCCATTGCAATTCCCTTGCAGTTCATGAGACAAAACTCAAGGTTAGTACCAGAATTTTGATGTAATAATTCCGTGCGTCATTGCCTGATCACTGTTTTCCTAATGGCTTCCATAACCGGAGGAGAAAGAGAATGTTAAATCCGTGAAGCAGACAACATATCGGTATTTCATTAGAATGAAGATGGTATAGGAAGTAGCGAAGAAAAGAACACTACACAAGTCTTTTTTTTACCAATAATAGTTTAATGGGGGGATAATTATGTTAGAACCACAAAAATGTTACGAACCTGAGACAACCAATCTTCTTGTATTGTTTCACACACACACACACACTCATATTTATATATATGGTCATGTTCAGGGGAAAACCGCAAAAAAAAAATGAAAAACTGAAGAACACCTTAATTACCATTCATCTGTACGGTATGTACATGAGAATACGAGTAATTTGTAAGTAATTTTTCTAGTATTCACATGTGCATAGAAACCAAGAAACATCTTCAATTACTAGTATGCACAAGTGCACACTGAACAGATGAAGGGTTATCAGGGTGTTCCTTAGTTTTTCACTTTTTAGGGGTTTTCCCGTGAACCTCTCTCTCTCTCTCTATATATATATATAAGATATATATATATATATATATATATATATATATATTTCATTTGAGGCCATGATTTAAGGTATTGTTTCACATATATTTGTTATCACAATATGAAACTTCTTTTACGTGTACATTTTGTATCACAAATTGAAACTTTTTGAAGTGTACTTTTTATTTCCGAATGTGAAACAACATTGTATGTTTCACGATGTCAAACTTTTTTGTTTGTATTTTTGTTTCACAATGTGAAATAACACTAATGTTTTACAATGTGAAACAACACATGATTCACTGGTTCTTGTGGTTCTCATTTAATTATCCCCCTAGTCAACTAAACTGCATGTTTTCAGATATTACTTCAGAACGATAGGCTTATAGAACAAAGGCCATCTCATCTGGTTTCAAGCTTTCTACCATTTTTGATCTCTTTTCTCCCTTGTTTCTGAGTGGGTCTGCAGGTTGACTTAACGGAATATGTGGAGAAGCACGAATTCGTATTTGATGCAGTGCTGAATGAGGAGGTTTCTAACGATGAGGTGAGATGATTGGAAAATAGTAATACAATAACACAGATGGTATTGAACTAACACTTGCTTGTTGGTTTGTATTGTGTTGATAGGTTTATTATGAGACCGTAGAACCCATTGTTCCAATAATTTTTCAACGCACAAAAGCAACGTGCTTTGCGTATGGACAAACAGGTACCTGAAGTTTAATCAAATTTCAAAATGAGATGTCTTTTGAACTACAAAAAGTCACTGTTAGAAAAAACAGTTAGTTCATTGGGCATTAACAACATTTTGTTATTACAATATATATATAAAATATAGGGTCAGGTTCAGTAGGAAAACCACAAAAACTGAAAAACTGAGGAATACCCTGATAACCATTCATCCGGGCGGTATGCACATGTGCATGCAAATGACTTGTCAGCAATTTGTCTGGTATGTACATGTGCATAACATGCACATGTGCATACAAATAATTTGCCAGCAATTTGTCTGGTTTGCATTGTGCATAAAAACCAAGAAACAACTTCAATTACTTGTATGCACAATGGTTACCAAGTTGTTCCTCAGTTTTTCATTTTTTTGGGGTGTTCTCCTGAACCTCCCTCTATATAGATATATATAGAGCGAGAATCATGTAATAGATTTTTACTTTGTGAGAATGTGAGAACAAGTGAACAAAACTTTGTATTGTGCGAATGTTGTAACCTTCATACAATATAAATGTATCTTCACACTTCTCATGACAAACCTTCACGTAATATAAGGATACCTTCACTTTTTCTCATTTTCTCACGAAAATGGGCTGTTCTAGCGGGAATCTTGCCCTATAAATGTGTATGGATCTACTACATGGAAACAACTGCTCTAGTTTTTAGGATAGAGGTCAAGTCTACATACATTTTACCCCCAACCCTGCTTCCAACTCCAAGTGGGACATACCGGGTGTGTTTAGTTTCGTTTATACATGGATCTACTGATGAAGATCATACCATACAAGTTTTGAGTATATTGAAGGCTTTCTCTTGTTTTGGTTTTCCAGGAAGTGGAAAGACTTTTACGATGAAACCGTTACCCCTTAAAGCATCTCGGGATATCCTGAGACTGATGCACCAAACCTATCGTGGGCAAGGATTTCAATTGTTTTTCAGTTTCTTTGAGATATACGGTGGGAAACTTTACGATCTCCTCAATGATAGGAAGTAAGCTCTTTCATCATGTTAAATCCTAAAGTTGCTATATTTGGTAGTCACGAACTTCAGGTTTTCATGGAAAAAACCTCTCTACCCTCGGGGGTAGAAGCAAGGTCTCCCTACATCTTACCCCCCTCGATCCTATCTATGTGTGGGATCTACCGGGTTTGTTTGGACTTTGGTTTCATTTGAACTTCAGGTATTTAGGAGATTGGAATTCTTTTTTTTTTTTTTTGTAGAAAACTTTGCATGAGAGAGGATGGAAAACAACAAGTATGCATCGTCGGCTTGCAAGAATATAGAGTCTCGGATGTGGAAACAATCAAGGAGCTGATTGATAGGGGGAATTCAACAAGGAGTACGGGCACAACCGGTGCAAACGAGGAGTCCTCGAGATCACACGCAATACTTCAACTTTCCGTCAAGAGGTCTGTTGATGGTAGCGAATCTAAACCTGCTCGAGTTGTTGGCAAACTCTCGTTTATCGATCTTGCTGGCAGTGAACGTGGTGCAGATACAACAGACAACGATAAGCAGACAAGGTAAAGTCTTGATTAGTGTTTAGTTAAATTTACGATATAAATAAAGGCTAGGCCTTGGGGTCATCCCCATAGGTCGTCAGTTTGAGTCTCCTCAGGGCCATTGGCGATCTTCTTGGCTGTTATCTCCAGGGTGTATGGGATTAGTCGAGGTGGGCACAAGCTGGCCCCGACACCCACAGTTACCAAAAAAATTAGGATTTTTTCTTCTTCTAATGTTGTGCTTTGAATATGTAACGTAGAATGGAAGGTGCGGAGATCAATAAAAGCTTGCTTGCTTTGAAAGAATGCATAAGAGCTCTTGACAATGACCAGGGTCATATTCCATTTCGAGGTAGTAAATTAACAGAAGTTTTGAGGGATTCGTTTGTTGGAAACTCTCGAACCGTCATGGTATCTTGCATTTCACCAAATGCCGGGTCGTGTGAACATACACTCAACACGTTACGATATGCTGATAGGTAGTAACTGTCAGTTAACGATGAAAATGCTGGTATTTGATGGGCGAAATAGATAAAGTAATCTTTGAACTTTTTACGTGTCACAAACGAGAACCATAAATATTTTGAGAACCAGAAAAACAACTATTCACGTATTATTTATGTGATAAATATTCATCACGAAAATTATTCACGATGAAAATGCATGATATTATGAATGATGAACAATGCATATTTTAGACTTATTCATAATGAATAATATATGCAATAGTCAAAATATTTATGGTTCTTCATTTGAACTTTCCACTACATCTTTGAACCCGAGACCTTGTGGAAACTCCAATCTCTTTTCACCGTGACAATTCTTCAGGGACTAAACCCCCGTAAAGTTCAGTCTATTACTTCATCTATTTTGTTGTAAATGATACGTATTTTACCCTTGAACGCAACATTTCTCAATCACTAAGTTTGTGTAGCTATGAAATTACAGGGTGAAAAGTCTCTCAAAAGGGAACAAGAAAGATGCCATAAATCTAAGGGAATCAACAACGGTGCCATTGTCTTCCGCCATACTGCCAGTTTCGCCTTACGAAGATGGCACAATCGATTCATGGCCTAACCAACCTGATGAAGATGATTATGACACAACAGAAGAGTTCTCCGAGCCAGAGCCGCCATCATGGAAAAATAGTGGGAAATTTGAAACACAAAGCTTCTCAAATGGTCAAGACAAGATCAAGAGAACCAACGGGCAGACCAAACTGAAGGAGCCATCCAAACCTGCATCAAGAAATTGGAACCCTGATGATGATTTGAATGCCCTTTTGAAGGTATGCTTTGTAGAAGAAATTCTATGTGATATTGACCGTGTTTTCTTGAATCCCAGACCCCACCTCTAGTTGAGATATATTGGGCTTGTTTGGTTTGGAAACTGTGTTTTCTTGAATCCCAAACCCCACCTCTGGCTGTGATATATTGGGCTTGTTTGGTTTGGTTTGGTTTGGTTATTGTGTTTTCTTGAATCCCAAACCCCGTCTCTGGCTGGGATGTACTGGGCTTGATTGGTTTGGTTACTATGTTTTCTTGAATCCCAAGCCCCACCTCTGGCTGGGATATACTGGGCTTGTTTGGTTTGGATACCATGTTTTCTTGAATCCCGAACCCTACCTCTGGCTGGGATATATTGGGCTTGTTTGGTATGGATACCATGTTTTCTTGAATCCCAAACCCCATCTCTTGCTGGGATATGCTGGGCTTGCTTGGTTTGGTCTGTGTTTTCTTGAACCCAAACCCCACCTTTGGTTGGGATATATTGTGCTCGTTTCGTTTCGTTTGGTTTGGTTAACGTGTTTTCTTGAATCCCAAACCCCACCTCTGGTTGGGATATACCAGGCTTGTTTGGTTTGGTTACTGTGTTTTCTTGAATCCCAAACCCCATCTCCGGCTGGGATATACTGGGCTCATTTCATTTGGTTACCATGTTCTCTTGAATCCCAAACCCCACCTGTGGCTCGGATTTACTCGGCTCGTTTTGTTTGGTTACTGTGTTTTCTTGAATAATTGTGTGTTTGATCTCAGGAGGAAGAAGATCTTGTAAATGCTCATCGAAAACAAGTGGAGGATACGATGGATATCGTTAGAGTGGTGTGTTTGAATCCATGTCTGCATTCATTTGAAATCTTGACTGATCATATAACGTGTGGATTTAACTGTTTTTTTTTTTTTTTTTTTTTTTTTTTTTTTTTTTGTGGTTGTAGGAGATGAATCTATTGGTTGAGGCAGATGATCCAGGAAACCAAGTGGATGATTATGTGACGAAACTAAACACGATCTTGGCTCAGAAGGCTGCAGCCATCCTACAGTTGCAGAACCGTTTGGCTCATTTTCAAAAGCGTCTCAGAGACCATAATGTTCTCATCTCTTCCTCAGGTCTCTAACTATATATGTTGAAACGCGTTGAATTACATTTTTTTAATGTGATTTTACTGGGGGCATGCTAAGTTTCTTGGTCAAAATTGATCTTGCCAAGTATTTGGGGTACAAGTTCTTCACGAAGGTCGTTAATCTTTGGTTTTGATAGAATTATAGCGGAAAACATGGGTTAATACGTATGTTTTTTGAACTCATGAATCGTGATATAGTTAATTTCACTTCCAACTCGGTTTGTGTTCTTTCCTTGCTTTTTTAGTTCTCCATATCAATCCATGTTAGAATTTAGATTGATCTCCGATTTTGAAAATGGAATGTTGGCAAAAAAACGAGAAAACGGAAGGAGAAATTTGTCGTTGGACATCGCTAGCACAAGCAAACAAATTAGCTCCATCGTTCCGTTATTGTGCCGGTAGGAACAATTAACCAAACCAAACAAATCCAACAACTCCCAGATAGAGTAAGGTCTGAAAGCGGTTTCAACCTCACCAAGCTTGGGCATTGTGTGTGAGTTTCATTTGCACTATATAAATATATATTAAGTAAATTGCGTCTTTGGTCCCTATGGTTTGTTGAAAATTGCTATTTTTGAACTTGTGATTTTCAAATTACGATTTTCATCCATATGGTTTACAACTCATTGTTGTTTTAGACCAAATGATCTAAAATTTATTACTATTTTTCATCGGTATGGTTTACAATTCGTTGCTATTTTAGTCCCTCATTTTTAAAGGTAAGAGTTAGCTTCACGAAATAAAATAGCAAATAATTGCAAGCTATAAGGATGAAAACCACAATTTCAAGACCACATGAACGAAAGCTGCAACTTTTTTTTTAACAAATCACAGGGACAAAAAACATAATTTATTCTAAATAGCATATACTTAAAAAAAAGCACAAGTAGCCCCGGTTGTCGATTAACGAACAACCAAAGTTTTAATAAAGTAAGTTACGTTTTTTCGTCCATGTGATTTTGAAATTTTGATTTTCATGTCTATAGTTTACAATTTGTTTTCGTCCTTATGGTTTAAAATTTATTGTCATTTTCATCCTATAGTTTACAATACATTGTTTTTAGTCCCTCGTACTTAAAGGTAAGAGTTACCTTCACGAACGAAAATAGCAAAGAATTGCAAGCCTTAAGGACAAAAACCACAATTTCAAGACCACAGGGACGATATCCGTAATTTTTAACAAACCATAGGGACGATAGCCGTAATTTTTAACAAACCACATAAAGGAAGCACAAGCAGCCCTAGTTGTCAATTGGAGAACTAAAGTTTCATTCCACTGGACATGACTTCTTGGTACATTCAATAGAAAATAATTCAAGCAAGTTGGTTGACAATTCAATTGTCAACCAAACCCCATTGGAAAGTTCACCATTGACCCGACCTTCTACAGGTCGGGTTGACAAATGAACAGACAAAAAAAAAAAAAGAAGGGTTCTGTATAGAATCATAGTTGTATGTGAAGATATAGCTACACAATTCATAAACAACATTCCATATCAATGTAAAAAAAGGGCAATTATCGAAATCTAAGACCAAGAAAACACACACAAACACCCAAATCCACACACTAAACTTAGCCATTCTAGCATGAAACCAGCAGCAAGCATCTAGATGTTTAAAGGGCCTAGTTTCCTCATGGAACTATTGATGCTATTAGTTCTTATAGATGGTTGTGGAAGAAAGAATTCAGAGTACATATCTGTGAAGAATTTGTCAACAAGACCTTGGTAAATTGGGCTGGTAAGAAGAGAATAGGAATGAAGTACCTCTTCTATATCTAACACATGCTCCTCATCCTTCATATCCATCATCTCCAATTCCTTCATTTTTTGCTCCAAAACATCTCTATTTTGACCATTTTGAGAGCAACCAACATCTTCATCTTCTTCGACCCTCCTACTAGTAACTGCTGATTTCTTTCCGTTACTGTTATTCGGTATTCTTTCTTCTTCTGAGTTGATCACATTTGTATTTGATTCAATGTCTCCTTTCTCTTGGCTATTTTGGTTGCCGGCGTGATCCCACTGCTCACAGAACTCTTTGTAGAAGTTGTCGAGTTGCTGCATTTTTGGGTTGTTGAGATTTGCAGAGAAAAGGTTCAAAGAAGGGGCTTTCGTAAGCTTTTTATATCTTCGAAAGATTAAGGACTTGAAGTTTTGGAGGGTTTTGTTGAAAAAGTTCCTTGTTTTCTGTATGGTTTTTCTGAGCAGCATCTATACCTCTGTTGCTGTTCTCTCAAGGCTTAGTTTCTCTGAACTCTTCTCTTCAAGAACCTGTTTACAACTATATATATATATATATATATATAGAGAGAGAGAGAGAGAGAGAGAGAGAGAAAGAAAGAGAGAGATGGAGGCAATGAAATTTAAGGAGAAAACCCACAAGTTCAAAGATCAATGATTTTTTATGGGTTGTAGATTAAAATGATTATTGTATTAAATTATAAGATGCCATGATATTGTTGTTGCTAACAAACTAAAACATTGATGTCAAATTTAGTTTCAAAATGCAGCCGGCTAGAAATTTCAAATGAAAATGAGAATCTTTTATTGGGACAGGAGGGATTTCTTTATTCTTTATTTTCTTTAAATTAGCCCACTAATAAAAAGTAGTGTGTGAGCAAAGATATGAAGTGGGAATATAATTTTAAGGGGAAAAAGGGATGTGTAATGATAGACACTTGAATATATGACCATATGTTGTCAAAAGTGCAGTGCCACTGATTAAGGAGTAAAGGCAAAGGTGGTGGGTTGGTAAAAGACTTAAGGGGCTGTTTGGTTGGTTTTTCATTGAGTCTTGAATGGATAAAGTTGTCTATTTGGATTTATCTCTCTATATAGATTGAGAAAGTTTTTGCTGTGAGGGGTTTTTTATAGATGGAAAAAACCTGTTTTTTTAATTGGGAGGGAAGGTTTGAAAAAAACTTGACTTTCTGCATAAAGCTCTCCCTAGAAACTTACTGAATAAGCCACTTTCTGTTTCATTAAGTCACTACCAAACAATCATATATAGCTGACCAAATATGTCGCGAGTCCCATTAAGCTCATTAAGTTGCTAACAAACAAGCCCTAAAAGCTCACTTGGATATTTTGAGTATCTCTTATGGTACCTGCTAAAATTCCATAACTTATAACTAATAAAACATATGAAATCTATATGTATATATTTTTTTGTCCTTTTGGCTGGAAAAAAGCATACTGAAATACACATAACAAAGGGCATATCGGCTTTTTTCTGAATATTTTGTTTGTTATCCATGTATGCTCTGTTGCTAAATCCTAAAATAGAAGACTTTAATCTTGATACAAATGGAGAAAGGTGATTTTTACTTATTGCATTTATTAGAAGCTTAGCTGTATGGAGCCTCAACAATCTTCAAATAAAGTGGTACCAGTGTGTTGGTGTGTAAAGAGGGATAAATGAATAAAATGCATTGAAGGCAAGGCATATGGCATATGGGGGTCTGATATGAGTATAGTTAAGTCATTTTCCATTAGCTGAATCATGCAAACCAGCCTTGATTGAAGAAAATTGACTTTTGGACTCCAAAAGATAAGTGCCGCGAGAATTCAGCCAATGTAAAAATGACATGTCATATTTTTGAGCTATTATTCAGTGTATATGTGTAATATTAATTTTCACCAACTAGAGGGAGAAAAGTACAAAACTTATATGGATCATGCTCTGTTGCAATCCAAGGGTCCAACTTTTCTACCTGCTAAATGGACTTGCTTTTGTGAAATTTGAAGAATTGATGAAGCAATCGGTGGACTTCTCCGTAATTACTGGTGCTAGAAATGAGACGGTCTTTGATCCAACGTGGGAGCTTGTTGGTCGGGTGAAAGCTCTTTCTTGAAGAATCTGATGTGTAACGCGTGTCCACCAGTAAGATTGCTGCATAATCATTAATGTGTCTAATAGCTCTGCCTGAAAAACAAGAAGTCCACAAAGCTAAAGGCATCAGAAATAGGTTCAATGTGACAAAACCAGCTCTAAATGCATCCCAAATCAAGAAGTTAGCTTCAAGAACAGATATCCCTCCATTCTATTGTGTCAAATATTCTATTTGCAATTTACTCCCTCGGTCCCAAAATAAAGAGAAATTAACAAAAATAGTGTCTCAGCCGGATATGTTCATCTCTTAGCCATTTCTCTCCCAAAATTTCCAAAAAGTCACTACCTCCACAAGTAGCAACTCTACAACTTGCGGAGGGGTCAAAAAGTAAAAAAGAAGAAATTTTTGAACATGGTCCGCAAGTACGGGGACCAAATCTGTACATTAGTCTAAATACTTACTGAACTTGTGAAACTGTACTTGCGTACCCAGACTAATTTCCAGATTTGGTCCCTGTACTTGGGACCATGTTCAATTTTTTTTCTTTTTGCTTTTTGACCCCTGTGCAAGTTGAGAAGTTGCTACTTGCAGAGGTAGTGACTTTTTGGAAAAATTAGGAGAGAAATAGCTAAGAGGTAAATTTGGTCGGTTGGAATGACTATTTCTGTTAATTTCCCCGAAATAAATGTCCACAATGAAAAAGACACAAACTTTTAGAAATGTCTACTTATTACATCTTTTAATCAACTAAATGACAATTTTACTCTTTGAAAGTAGGCACTTACTTTCAAAGTAGACACTTATTTTGGGATGGAGTATTGCTCGTAATGCCTAAAGTAAAATTATTAAGTTTGAAGGTGGAAAGATTTCGATGATGTAGAATGAATTTTCAGCTAGAAGAATTTAAGATTTACCAATAGACTGGTTTACAGCCTTCATGCAAAGATTTTCATAGTACTCTCGTCCTCTACGCTTGCAACTTCTTAAAATGTCGAATCCTGCTTGAGCTTCTCCATTGAAGCATGGACCGTCTCCAAGACCATCAATATGCTTCACCCTTTCCATCAACTCAATATCAGATGGGCTTGGATATGGCAATCCAACCATGACTATGCATCGCCCCATTCCGTCACTGAAATTGATACCTTCTGATATCTTTCCACCAACTACAGCAAGAAGCACCGCACCATTATGAGCTACTGGTACATCTTTCGAGTTTGCATTAGACAATGCATCAACTGATTCCTTGTATTCTTTCAGAACGGTTTCCACTTCCGTGCTTTTTCTTGGCTCTCTGAACACATGTTTCTTCTTCATAATCCTACCAAGGATGCCTGATGTTTTCCAAGAACTGTAGACACATTCTTCATAATCAAATGAAGAGAAGAACACAACAATACCTTGTGGAACCACTGTAACCAGATTGCAAAGTAGAACCCCTAGCTCCCCAACCTATCATTTTATGCAAGTCAACAGGCATCAATAAAGGTGCGTTTGATATCCAGACATGATAGAACATTAAAGAACAAAAATCTGTTTAGCGTTTGTTAAGACGGAACTGGACATGACAAAACAGATACAATGACCAATTTACCCCTAATGAGTTGTTTATATGTTTTATATATTTTGATTAATCTATGCAATTTATTAAATTATAATAAAAATAAATATTTTTATAATAAAATATATCATTAGAAAGTTTTCGCCAAGACAATTAAAAGGACACCAAAATAAAAAGCTTATGTAGTTTTTCCAATTTTTATTTTATACCATTTCTATATTATTCTTTTAATTATTTTTACTAATATTTAATCAATTACACAAATTAATCAAAATGTAGAAACCATATAAAAATAATATTTTGAGAACAGTAAACTGAAAGTTTAAAGAGTTAATAAATAAAATTTAAAAAAATTATAAAATGTAAAGAGGAGGGCGTATTTGATGTTTTAGAGGAGAATTAAGTTCTATTTTGAGGTTATATTGGTAAAACATAAGTCTGTTCCACCTTCCATGGGGTGTGGGTGGAACACGCCTGTTCCACTTCATTTCCATCTGTTCCACATAAAAATTCTTGACAAACATGGAACAGTGATCCTTGTTTTATTCTGTCCAGTGTATCAAACGCACCCTAATGCTATAGATACATAAAACATGTAGAAGATAATTGTGAAAGTGGGATAACGAGTTACCAACCATGGTGGATGTACTTCTAGAGCTATAGCTAAAATCCAAGGACTGACCAGAGGGTCCTTGTGAAACAGAAATAGGCAATATATTGTCCGATGAAATTATATGACCACAAGAGAAGAAATGCAACTGATCTGGCAATAGCCACGGAAAGAGCCTCTCCCTTGTTTCTTCTATAGGTTGGAGAGTTCCACCAGCCAATACAACAGCATGGGCTTCATCAACAATCTACCAAAAGTTAACAGTCAACTTTGTTTGAAATCTTAAGAAGCTTATAATGCTAACTAGATGTTACAACAAGAATTCTGAAGTTTTTAGCAAACCTCATGAAAGATCTTCTCCCCGGTGAGCATAACATATTTTAGATATCCTCCTTGTTGCCCAAAGTCTGATGGTCTTTTCCTTGAGACTATTATCCTCCCATCACTATCTCGATTTGTTAGTGAGAGTAACATTCCAGCTAATGCACGGAACCCTGATAAAAAGCTTCCCTCGGCACGACATTCCTTATCTTGAAGGGTAGTATCATTTTGTAAGTTAATTATTTTATTCCCATACCCACTGACCTGAGAGAGAAAACCAGAGACCCATGATCAACTTTGAAAAAATAAACAGGTAATCACAAAAAGCAACAAAGCTACTCACCTTGTGAATCATATTGCTGTCTTTAATATATTGTAGCAATTTCACCAAGTTAATGTTGTCAATGTTGAGAGAAAACACAAACTCATTGATGCACAATGAGCACTCAGACACATTTTTTGCTGGACAACAAGACGAATCAACCAAACTAGCGTTATCCTTGTTGCATAAAGTTTGTATAAAAGCTCGAGTGAGAACCATCAATGTTTGAATGTGTCTGCGGTTGCCTGGTCCTAGGAGATTGCGAAATCGTTGAAAGTAACCTTCTAAACTGGAATTAACAAGTTCCAACTGTGATATAATTTGGATCACCAGGTTAGAAGTATACAAAAGATCCCATGAAATTTTACTCTGAAATCACAAACTGAAGCCGGCAAGTGCAAGAAAAGACCCAAGACTCAGTTTAGAGACGAACAAGAATGCCGATATCATGTATTACAAATGCATGGTAAACTAGCTACTAAAAGCCACATCTTTTACCTGGGACAAAGTTATTTTCGAGTCATACATGCTGATGAGAGAGTCAGCAAGGTTGTGAGCCTCATCTATGATAACAACACTATTCTTCAAGCTTAAACCAAGTGATTCCCGTGAAGATTTAGAAAGAATAGATTGATAAGGAAGAACCACAAGATCTGCTGCAGGGACCATGCTTCTAGAACCATAGTATGGACAAGTTCCTAAACTGCTTCCAATGTGAACAAGATCTTCAATATCTACCGGTCCTTGGTCAGTCATTTCATGCCTGAACTGCTTTTGTAGCTTATGTTTGCTAAGCATTGGGCATCCACCTGAGGCCTTTGTCTTGCGTACTCTTCCCCCAACACCCGAATTCTACAAATTAATATTAGAAAAGTGCATTATGCTCTACCACAGCGGCCATCATTTGAATATAAATTTCAAAAGTGTTCCCATTGTACACATTTACAATTTCAGTTAACATACAGATACAAGATATTATGTAGAAGGTAACTGTTTCAAATGCCATTGCTTTTATCCGGGCCTGCTTAGTCGGGCTAGGAAGATATTAGATTCACGCAGTCTATCAGAAACAGAGTCCCTTCACGATTGCTAGTTTTCCTCAGTCTCATGTTATTTGCTATTCATTGATAAAATGCAATAATTTGTACTTCAAATGCTCCAGTAAGTATCCTAAAAGTAAAAACAAACTATTCTAGCTGGGTAGGTAATCAATGAAACAAATCCACTATTGGGATATAAGCAAAGATTCACTTATACCTTCATTTTAGAAACTTGATTTTTCTTATTCTTTTGAAGATCCAAGCATTGCTCATTAATGAGAGTGGAATTCCCAAGCTTCAAAACCTCTGCAAAGTTTCATCCCAAATAGATTGATCATGCATTCATTAAGAGCAATAAATAAAAAAAGTACCAATTTACCTTCATTTATGCAAAAGTTCTTCCTAGAGCCCAAGCATGCAACCTTTAACTGACCAGCGAAAACCGTCTTCCTCAATTCTTTTACAAACTGTGAGAGCTGTGAATGTGTTCTGCTACAGAAATAAATCTTGAATTCTGCCTCTTCCTCTTCATCACTGAATTCATCAGCTTCATTTTCACCCTCGCTCGAGGATGAGCTGCAAATTCCACCACTTTTTCTCTTAGATAATCCACTTTTCTCATCTTCGCTCTCGTATTCTTCTACCAAGAACTCCTTGTCATCTAACTTCTCCCCATCACCTTTTGCTATCAAATTATTTTGTTCCTTGCCATACATATCGTAATCAACTTCAATTTCTCTAAAATGATTAAATAAATCATTCAAACCCTCCTCAATTCCAGTCTTATCACGTTTTTTACTTTTAAATCCGTATCTTTTCTTAAGCTTAACCTTCTTCTTAGGGCCTTCCACTTCTTTATTACCTAAAATATTCCTCATCCAATCAGGATCATCATCTGGCCCAGAACGATCTCCAGTTGTTCCATTCTGTTGCGTATCGACTGAAACTGAACTGTCATCATTCCGTCGCTGCTTTCGATCAACAAGCCATTGCAGAGCGCTACAGATTATGCTTAGGGTTTTTCCTGTCCCTGTTAACAATAATACGATTTAGTACATCAATAACAATCTTTTTCCCAATTTCAAAACACACACACACACAGAGAAAGAGAAGCAAGATTACCAGTTGGACTTTCGAGCATGGCGATTCCTCCTTTATCAAGAGAATCATAAAGAGCATTCATAAAATCGACCTGAATCGAGTAAGGTTTGAACGGAAAACCCCCAAATTTCTGCTTCATCTCTTCTCCCATTTCCCCGTTCTTTTCCCTATCAAGATTTTCCCGCGCGATTTAGAGGAATTTTATAACAGAGAGTAAATTACGTTTGGGACACAAATAGGCCCAGCCCAGTGGGCCGTGGGTAGCCCGAAGCCCCGAACTAGATAATTTATTCTTCATTACGATTTACGAGCAAAAAAACCCTAGTTTCTGAGATCAACCGTCATACGATCAGAGTATTTAGCCGTTTGCGTTCTTCCATCCGGCCAAAGGGACTTGCTCCGAAGAATTAGGGTTTCTGGAACCTCATAGCAATGGTAATTTCTTCCCTTCATTACGATCACTCTTCTCGCTTCCAGATCATGTCTATATGTATATGTATATGTATATATGACTGGTTAATTTGAACAACAGGGGAAAGGAACAGGGAGTTTTGGTAAGAGAAGGAACAAAACACACACTTTGTGTGTACGGTGTGGTCGTCGCAGTTTCCATCTCCAGAAGAGCCGATGCTCCGCTTGTGCCTACCCTGCTGCTCGCGTCAGGAAATGTGAGTTAAAATAATCTCTCTTTCTGGTTGACATTTTCAATTCTAGTCGATACGTGATGTAGAAGCTGTTTGGTTGGTTGTATGTGTGGATTAATCTGTATAAACTGGGAACATAGATGGAAGAAGCGTCTTATTAATTGAGATGTTGGCATAAAACTCCAATCTAAGCTTACTCAATAAGCCACTTTCTATATTATTAAGCTACTATCAACAGCCATACATATAGCTGATTGAATAAGCTGCGAGGCTCATTAAGGTTAAATAACAAACAGGCCTGTAACTTGGTGTTGTTAAATTTAGACAACTGGAGTGTGAAGGCGATTCGTAGGAAGACAACAGGAACCGGACGTATGAGGTATCTCCGTCATCTGCCTCGCAGATTCAAGAGCAACTTCAGAGAAGGTGATCTTTGATATTTTGCTTAATCCAATGTTGTCTGATTTCGTTTATCCGTCTTTCGATCTTATTGTTTGTTCTTGAATCGACAATCGTGATGCTTTTCCCCATTCAGGAACTCAAGCTGCTCCAAGAAAGATCGCCGCTGCATCTTCAGCTTAAATTTCTGAGGTGTCATCAGAAATGGTATGATGGTATTCTTTTTAAACCGAGAATCGGGCGATTCAGCACATGATCAAAGCGTTGTGAAGCATCATTTGATGTGCTTAATCTATTGATCTTCAATCATGGTTCGTTACGTTTAGAAATTTCTGATTCTTAATCATGGTTCGTTTCGTTTAGAAATTTGTGATTCTTAATCATGGATTAAATGAAAACGTACACTTGCTCTGTCTTTATAATCAAGTAGTTCATCTGGTACCCATATATAGCACACATTCAAAGATGGGTTTTCTTGGAATTATTCACATGTGAATGACCATGCCAAATAAGCCTGGTATGTGAATCTTAACAGACATTCCTTTTAAGGAACTATCTGTTATATGTTACAATAGAGTAGGATACATTAATTCTATGCATGAATGTGCTCAAACCGGCATGGAAACATCCAAAACGTCTTCAACGTCCATCGATTCCAGCTTTTTGTGCTTAATGCAACGATTTCGGTTTGCCAATATTTTGACCTTATAGAAGCTATATGATAGCACCCAATTTTTCTGATTCGACGGTTGCGGAAAATTCCCCATTGCTGCCTCTCGTGGGAGTCTGGGCCGTGTCTCAGTCCCAATGATATCATTAATTTGATTTTTCAAACCGGTCTGGGTAAAAAAAATTACGCGACTTTGAAAATAGACATCTACAAAAATGACTTATTTGATATGAAGACCTACCATAAAAAATTGTCAGGAGCCGTTTACCAAACACTTATCCGGTAAGCACTTAACGGTAAAATTCAACACTATCATTTACTTATTAGGTAAGATTTTAGTCAACAAAAACGACTTTCTATGCAATAATTTAGCCGGTAAGAGCTGACCGTGGTAAGAGTCATTGTCCTCACTTACCGGGTAAGACTCTCGGTCTTTGACTCACTTTTATCAGGTAAGATTCTTTGTCATTGTCATATTCATTCGGTAATGTAATATAATTTGGTAAGCTTTTACCCGAATAAACATTTGGTAAACGACACTTAATTTTTACTTAATGAGCACATATTTTGCACTCAAACCTATTTCTCCATTTAGTCCTCATTGGGCAATTTTATGTTATATATGTAATTATTTATGTATATGCATGTTTTTTATATATTATTTAGATAATAACATTAAAAAAATTACGTTTTTCTAAAATATAGGAATAATCATATAGCTTATTATTTAAAAAAAAAATTTGATTAAATATTTAAAATATAACGTAAAAGTGTAATTTTACAGTTTCATTTTCATCACGACTCTATAATGTTTATAAATTTAAGAAACTGAATGATGTGATTAAATAAATCTAAAGTTAAAAAGTGTAAAATAGAAAAGTTAAAAGAAAATTAAAAACATATTTTTTCGGAAAAAAGTCGCATCTTGTAAAAAAAAATGCACGGCGCAGCACCATGACGTGAGCCACGTCTTCCACGCAATAGACCTTATCGTAAAGACGAAGCTGCATCTTACACTGTATCGCACCATAACAGACGTCACGGTACGCCTTTTTGAACACTTGGTAGAAACAAATATAACCAACAAAAAGATTTATCTAGAACTAAATAAATTTAATGAAATCCACTTAATTTTGTAAGTACCGGTTTGCTATCATTATATCCATTCCAATTCCGTGTTTGGTTTAAAGGAAAGTTTTGATCTAAAATCCGCGATTTCATTGAATAGCAACCCACGGATTTAGAAATCTCTTTGAGATGACGGTCATTTCAAATCCAAGTCCGAATTCAATCCGTCAAACCAAACTAACCCTAAGGGTGGTGCCTGAGGTTTGAGCTTGGCTCCAAAGGTCAAAAGTATCAGGAGGTCCCAAGTTCAAATTCAAGGAAGAATAAAAATTCTCTTGTGATCACGGAGGTTCAAATACGGTGACTCTAGACTATCTACAAAGCAGGTGGTCGCCCTGGGATTAGTCGGCTCGCATAGCGGGTTGCATATTCAGGTTAATAAAAAAAAAAAAAAAAAAAAAAAGATAACGGAAGGTAACCCGAAATCGAATGGAAAAAAGGACCCAACTTCCATAGTTCAAATATCAAAAACTGCAAAACAATGTCTAATGTTATTGTGTATTCCAGCATCATATTTGTTGTAACAAACTCTCCAAAAACTCAGAAAACATATTTACAGTTCTCATCCACTGCATATACCCTAATTACCTTTTCACCGTGAAGAAAATTTTGACACGGGCATGGCGCCCCCGACAACCATGTATTAAAGAAAGAAAAAATAGGGTAAACACCCGGTGAAAAAAGATCACTCCGAGTTAAATCAAAACTCTAGACAATATATGATAGTAAGAATGCTACTGTTCAAGAACTCCAAACTTGTGTTTTTCGTCTTGCAACTGTTGGAACACGAAATCCAGTTCCGGAAATGCAGACATTAACAGCAACTCAAGAAGGTCAAAAGCTAATTGCTTTAGACATACAGATGACTGATAACAACACAAGATTAGATGGTTAAGTATAGAATGGATCATAGTTGCGGAAATCTGAAATTGTTGTCATATGGTTTGGGGCGGGTTCATATGAAGGGTTGGGTTCCGGTGAGATTAAGACTTATGGGGAGAAGAAAAACCTTCATATATACTTTCATAGGGTCAGGTTTTGGGGAAAACTGTAAAAATGAAAAACAGAGGAACACCCTAGTAACTATTCATCTCTATGTATGCATATGTGCATTCAAGTAATTTTCCAGTATGCATGTGTGCATGTACCAGGAAATATCTTCACTTGTATGCACATGTGCATACCGTAATTATTAGGAGGTTCCTCTATTTTTCATTTTTTTTGGGGGTTTTCCCTAGAACCTCACTCTCATTCGTATATCTTCATCTACCTTCAACCTTTATTTACCTATTTCTATCATCATCAACGAAACTTTAGCAAATTCATGCACGTGAAAGTGATTAAGTGTTATGTAAAAGTTCGTGAAAATGACTAAAAGTGATGAAAGAGGTAGATGAAGGTAGTTGAAGGAAAATGAAGGTAGATTAAAAAAGTCAACCCATCCAAAGGCTCGTACGAACATCTCCAACAGCTGTGTTATAATTTTTCTACAATAGAGTATGAAAAGTCATAATATCTAAAAAATCTTGCATATTCAAAATAATCTATTTTAGCATAGTTGTTAGAGATGCTCCAAGTGTTCTCACCATTTCAGCTTAATCGTTATTCTCACACGATCCCACATCAAAATGAGAACCATAAATATTTTGAGGACCTATGAACCAACCATTTCATGAATTATTCATGATGGATGACTGGTAACATATTCATCATGAATAATTGATAAATAGTTGGTTCCAAAGTTACCAGAATATTTACGGGTTTCATTTGAACCTCCCTCATACAGATATCCCAATAAATGTAATGTGATCAATCAAAACCTATATTATTGTCGAACCATTTAACAACCATACGAAACTCACCTGAATAAAGTAATAGACATCTTTCGCACACTGTTCATACTCCTTTCGACCAAAAAGACCAACAACAGCCGCTGGTGCCTTATCTACGCATTCCATTCATATAATCAAGATTAGTCACTGCCACTTCATGCAACAAAGCTTTCAAAACGGATATCATGGGGTCCATTCGTTTAATCCATTTCATTCGTTGCGTATCCCCATCATGATTATGATTCACAAAAATGGAGATGGGCAATGGAGGGAAATGGGTAATTAAGCGGATGGAACCAAAAATGAATGGAAAAAAAAAATCATTACCGATCATTAGCTCGTAAACTAGTTTAGAGCGTTGTTTGGCTTCCTGTTCTCGAATCTCTTCCCATGTCAACGTTTCCTCATCACTTGGTGGATATCGTGGCGATGGAGGAGGTGAAACTTGGGCAGCCGCCACCTTTGAGGAGGCGGTTGGCGGCTGCTGTCGCTTTGGGTGCTTCGTTATGAATATCCCATCTGGCCAAAGTATCTAAACAAGTCACATGGGATAAGTTAGAAGCGAAAATAGCAGTGGCCAAAATCTACACCAAAAAAATAATTTTTATTTGCAAATCTCTATTCTGCTATAACCAAGTTTCTACATCTTATCAACTACGGAAAACGAAAAATAGAAAAAGGAAGGAAAAAGCTAAACTTGAAACCTTTGATCGACCCTCGTTACCCCAAAAAGGAAGGGCCGTTTTGCTTAACTTATGGAGAGTTTAACAAGCAGAAATATACCATTGCATCTTTTGATAATAAATCTAATAGAGAACCGCAAGTACAGAGTCATAGTAATCTGTCATTAAGGGTGCGTTTGGTACATTGGAAAGGACATAACATAACAGAACAGGGATCACTTAGATTGATTATTTGGTAAAAGAAACACTAGACAACTCATTAGAGGTAAATTGATCATTTTACTAGTCCTGTTGTATTGAACGCTTAACAACTCTTTTATCATGTCCTGTCCTGTGCCGTCTGGGTACCAAAAGCACCCTAAGAGACCTATACATTTCCAAATTCAAATAGTTCATCAAGGATAACCTGCTCAAGCCGCTTGATTCCTGAAGCAACATTAGAGCCCCTACGTAGGAGTTGGACTTTCGCAATTAACCAATCATCGAAAGCATCTGACATGCCCAGCTGTAGAACCTGCTTGGCCACCCAGAAGGCCTTCCTCCTGGTAAATACACCAAAAAAAATGGGATTAAGCAAAAGATTAAAGAGAGAAAAAGTAGCAAATTTGTGGGTATCCAACTTTCAAGTGTAGAGGGAGGTTCAGGGGAAAACCCCCCAAAAAATGAAAAACTGAAGAACACCTTGGTGACCATTCATCTGGATGGTATGCACATGTGCATGCAAGTGAAGCTGTTTCTTGGTTTTTATGCACATGTGAGTGTTATGCACATGTGCATACCGGACAAATTGCTTAAAAATTTACTTGTATGCACATGTGCATGTCGTCCAGATGGACAGTTACTAGGGTGTTCCTTAGTTTTTCATTTTTTTTTTTGCGGTTTTCCCATGAACCTCACGCTTTAAGTGCAATACCAAGTTATCATAACATGGTATTTAGTACATAAATAGAAGCGATTATGTGATTAATACCTGATCCAACCACCATCTTGAAGCTGGAAAACAACATCAACAAGATCTAATATTGGGACGCTTAAATTTGGTGGCACCCACTGCAGCAGAACAGACAAGATACAAAATTTTACATGGAGAAACAAAAAATTAGGGCCCGTTTGCTTTAATGGAATGTTTTTGAGGGATCTGGATTTCGTGGAAAAGTTTTGAAATCTTTAGTGTGTTTGGTCTGTAGTATTTGGAATGGAAATGAATTCAGTTCTTTCATAAATCTTGGTTGGTTAGTAGGATTTGGAATAGAATTTAATTTTTTGTAAATATTTGTTTGTTATATAAATTATTTGTTTGTTTGGATGCGATGGAGAATTAGGATAGATTTGATGAAAAAGAGGTGGGATAAAGATGCAATGGAAATAATTGAAAGCCACGGGATTTGGATTTGAAATGACAACTATTTTCAAGAGAGCTCTAAATCGTCAGTTGTGGGATTTCAAATACAAACTTTCCTTCAAACCAAACACAGGATTTGAAGATAATTCAATTCCAAATCCTACCAAATCCCGCAAACCAGAAGGGCCTTTAGGACAATGAATCACGTGATAGAAAAAGTGCCGACCCATAAAAAATATAAACAGTTATTACCTCCTCAGGGAGTACTGAATCATCATCATCGTCATCTATAAGCATCCCAGATGGTGCATGTAAATTACTGTCTTCCAGTCCCTTTAAAGTCTGCTCTGGCTTTCCGGCCATATATAATTTACTTCGAACGCCAATTTCAGAGTCGCTATCTGAATCCTCAGATGGTTTTCCAAGTTCCTTTGTTGGTTTTCCAAGAGATAAGACAACGTTCTTAGATCCTCTTGACCCATCAATCACATAATTATGTTTTATTTCTGACGAAGAATTTTTCATCACAGCATCTGAAAGTTCTCTTTTAGAACTCAAGGGATCCCCTACAAATCTAACATCATTACCAACCCCCGAACTCTTTTCACGAACAGTTGTGGCTGAATGAACTAGACAAATGAAACAGACACAAAATGGTAAATACAAGTAACGAGCACCCTTGGATATAAAAACGCTTTGGAAATACAGCTGACCTGAAAGAGTTTCAATTATGGATATGGAATTTGAGAAACTATATGTCTGCAGCCAGCAAAAATTGATAAGTTAGAAAAAGCCGTTAAAAGAACATAAAGCAGCAGATAGCCCATGAATCAAACCTGAGAATCAACACTAAGGAAGTCCCAAACTTCAATAGATCCAGAAATAGTTGGAAGTTGCATAAGTCTCTGAGAAATAGCAGCAAATCGGTCTTAGAAAGAAGAAATTATGCACTAAATAGAAGTGAATCTATTTATTCTAGAAATCGTTCGTTATGCACATATATAGAGTGTTGTTATGATACAACAAGCATATTTAAACCAGAAACGTGGGCTTGGATTACCATTTTTGAAGAAATGGGCGGACCCGGACTAATTTGTTAAAAATAATGGGCGGGCATGGGCGATGGAATAATATTTGGGCACACTCGCCCACCTCCCCGCCCAGTTAAGTATTTTTATAATAATTAACTTTTATAATTAAAAATTACAAATAAAATTGAAAATTCTTGATACTTATCAATTCCCACTTAATTATGACTCATGGTAATAACACTCTTGCAAAACTAAAAAGGAAAAACATAATTAGCTCAATTGATCAATTCCTTATTATCTCATTTGGTCATTTCTTTATCGATAAGAGGTACTCCATAATTTGCGAAACAAGTTTTTCCTAAATTATGTACATTGTTATGTATTTACGTCTAATTTTAAGTCGGATAAAATTGATATGTATTTTGAACTATTTTACATAACTTGTGGTTTTATATAACTTTTGTTTTCTTAAAAATATAAAAAGATTTTTAGGCCCGTTAGGCCGAGGGCAAGCCCGAGCCGTTTATAGGGCCGGTATAGGACAAGTTTTCAAGCCTGTAAAAACGGGTTTGGGTTTGCCATATCAGGCCCATTGGACAAGAAAATTAGGTTAGGCCCGGCCGAGGCCCACAATGATCAACTCTAGGTGTAAGTATTAGATGTATATATGGGCATCAAAAGATAGACAGAAAATGCTAACATTTTTTTGGGGGGTGAGCAAAAGAAAGTTCAAGGAAATGTGTCACCTTCAAATATATGTCAAGCAATTTACAACGTTCTTGGATGACGGGCACATCGAGTCCCGTTGATAGAAAATGCTTTGGTGGGAGATGAAGATTATACTCTGCATACTCCTTAAGACGCCGATGTAACTCCTCAAAATGTCGAAACCTGTATAAAGATTCTAATCCAGTCAAGGGAATCACAACGGCTTATTATTTAAGAACACCAAAACAAGTAATCAAACATCAAAAGTAACAAACACAAAGAAAGGCTAAGGATTAAGGAACAACGAATATAGGATGAATCAAAAAGAATTGTGGCAAATTTTCAACACCTTCGTTTGATAGACCAGCTAACATTATTCACATCCGTAACAGAGATGGGATAAACAGCGAAAGTCTTAGAGCCACACTTCACAATATTGGCACCCAACACCTGCAATTAGCAAAAAAATTCTATCTTTTCACATGCTCCATGAGTATCATGGATACAAAATGATGGAAAGAACGAAAACCCAAAATCTTGTACCTCACATCTTAGTCTAAAAAACGAATCATCCAACGGTAAACTTTTTTGGGACTTAATGACTGAACTGTTGATACTTTCAGGAATAGTAATCGAAGGGAGAGAAGATGAAGCACTTATTCCGCTATACGTTCTTCCCAATGACTCTCCATCAGAATCACCACTAGAATCACCTGATCTCGAATGCCCTTTGGAAGAACTCAAAACATCTTGCCCATCTCCCAGTAGAAAGGTCTTTCTTTCAACTTCATGCCACACTTCCTCCTTCTGATTGCTTACTCTTGATCTTTTTCTACCCGGATGTCCTTTTGGTGAACCTTCGGGCTTTGAAAAACCTTTCCCAGTTTTCCTCATCTTCTGGCCTTCGAAACTTTCAAGTGGGTGATGAATGTGAGTAACGGAGTGATTCCTATTACTTTTACCATCCCAGACTTTAGTTCCCGGAGAATTTAAACCCGTAATGTTACTGTTTTCTTCATCTTCCGTAGAATAATCTCGGCTGCTTCTTGATTCCTCCTCATCTTCATCCTCATCCTCATCTTCTTCATAAGAAGTGCCCAAAGAAGGCCATGGTCGGTTATATTTCTGCGGGTGCGAAGGCAATGTCTTCGAGTGATTGACCGAATTTGATGACTTGGCTGAAGAATTTTGACGGAGAGACTCTGCAACACGGTTCACGCTTTCTTTTGCTTTGTAGTTTCTACCTTTTGCCCACATATTCTCAAAATTCTCAGGAGCCAAAGCTTCGGTTTTTCTACGAGAAATTATGTCTAATTTGTCACCCCTTTCTCCTCCAGAGTGGTGTTTGCTGGTTCCAGTGTCTGACGGGAAAGAACTCAAGGAATAAGTAGATCTTGTATCCATTGAAAGCAACGGATCTTTTGCATGAAGATTGTCTGCAACTTTGTCTATGGTGGAATCAGAATTCTCTTTCTTTAACAGTGTGAGTTCAACACCCTTTACAGAAGGATCTAGCACCATAGACGGTTGACTAGAGAGTTTTGGAGATCCCTTTGGCTCGGACTGTGAGTTCACTTCTTCTGTGTTAGCTCCTTTATTGGTCTTTCTTGCTGAATTTACCAGGTTTTCAATCCTTTCATTAATGAACCTAAAGCCAAAAATGAAAGAAAATAAAAAAACACCATGTGATGAATCAAAAATAAAACACTAAGAGTGCGTTTGGTATCCAGACAGGACAGGACAAAACAGTTGTTTCAGTGTTTGGTAAGATGGAATTGGATAGGACAGAATAGATAAAATGACCAATTTACCGCTAATGAGTTGTTTATATATTTTGATTAATTATGTAATTTGTTAAATTATAATAAAATAAATATTTTTTATAACAAAATATATCATTAGGAAGTATTCATCAAGACGATTAAAAAGACACCAAACATAAAAACTTTATGTAGTTCCCAATTTTTTTTTTATTTTTTTTTCTATATTATTTTATTATTAATAATATTTAATAAATTACATAAATGAATCAAAATATAGAAACCGTATAAAAACAATATTTTGAGGATGGTAAAATGAAAATTTAAAGAGCATAAAATACGATAAATAAAATTTAAAGAATGAATAAAATGTAAAGAGGGAGGTGTATTTGATGTTTTAGAAGAGAACTAGGTTTTATTTTGAGGTTATATTGGTAAAACATTCTGTCTGTTCCATATAAAAGTCCTATCAAACGTGGAACAGTGATCCCCATTCTGTTTTGTCCTATCCAGTGTACCAAACTCATAAATTTACTGAATTGATAACCTCGGGTTGGCTAAATTCATAACAGGTCTTATTACTGCACAAGCAAGCATTTCCCTGACTATATAGCGAAATAAAGAGCATTGTAGATCCTCAGGCCTGAACGTTAAAGAGATGAAACCATCCATAAGATGTTGTAGAACCTACAAGGAATCAAACAAAGTATCATAACCATAAGGAATATCTTCAAATACGGAAATCAAAAGACGGAAGTCTAAAAAGACCTTGTACTCAGCTCCAGCAGAAAATAAAGCAGGGTGCAACTTATTCTCAGCATAAAGCACCGCTTTGAGTTCTATATCTCGTTGTGAAATTGTCAGAGACTGCTGGTTCATAATCTTCATCTGACATGCACGGAAAAGTTCCAAGTGGGTGCATAAAAGTTTGATGATGTCCCTACAATGTTTCAAAACACGCAAAATATAGGCAAGGATGGTTCAGATAAGATCTTTTAATCAAAAAGGTGAAATTTTTAGCATTACAACCTTGTCAGAAGGTCGATAAGGTTGATATTTCTCATGCGGCTAGAGAACTCCCCAAGCACACCATTAATGATCAGCACCAACTCATCCGGACCTTGTTTGTCGGGGGTTACGCGGGAGTACCAGAGATCAGTGACCCACTCGGAAACTATATGTCTGGTAAACTGATCTATTGCATCCTCAACAACAGGAGAATTTACTTTCTTTCTCCACTCAGACTTTCCTGAGAGAAATGTAGGCTCCACAGACTGCTTCTTTTGAGAAAAAGTGTGGGCTGAGGATGGAATTCTGCTATATGATGCGGTTTTCCTCCGCAGGTCATAATCCAAAGCAAAATAACGAAGCATAACGATTAAGAGAAGCGCAGCAGGCAAGTTTACCAACACCGAGGCGCTTGTCACTGAAATAAATTATAAAATCAATATGCGGGATCATGTCATCTATCAAAAAGATTCAAGAATATATATATATATATATATATAGGTGAAGGATCGTGTGAGAAGGGAAGTTATGGTGAGAAGCATAAGAAGAGATTTGAACCCCTAATCACTTTTAATCTCATGCCCACCCATGAATTGCACTATAGAAGGGAATTGATCCGGTGCATCTCGGTGCACCTCATTAGCGTTGGCATTCAGTTAGGATTCATCCAAGGGCGTCTTACATTTCTCAACATAACTTCCCTCCTCACTGGAACCCAACCCTATATTTATATATATATATATATATATAGAGAGAGAGAGAGAGAGAGGGGGGGGTTCATGGTAAACCCCCACAAAAACTGAAAAAGTGAGGAACACACTGGTAACCAGTCATCTGGTACGGTATGCACATGTACGTACAAGTTATTGGAGTTGTTTCTTGGTTTTTATGCATGTGTCCATACATCCAGGTGGTTACCAAGGTGTTCCTCAAATTTTTTTTTTTTTTGCGGTTTTTCCCTGAATCTAACCCTATATATATATATATATATATATATATGTATATATATATATATGTATATATATATATGTATATATATATGTGTGTATATATATATGTATGTATAAAAGATACTATCATACACAGATGAGCATCAACTTGAGACCACCCAAAAAAAGATCATGTATTATCTTGATACCGTGATAAGTAATCATCAAGAAGTTTTACTCAACCATTGAGAAGTGGGTGAGAGAGAAAGGAGGTGAAGAGAGTAGCAAGAGGAGATGCCTTCCATCGAGAGAAACACGAGAGATAATTTAAGCCATTCTATAAAATAGTATTTTCTTTTTGTGAAATGAATTGCCCTTCAGTAATCAAGTGCGCGTAGTTAAAGTACATTTTTTGTGTTTTAACAGCTGACTAGATGAATATGTATAATTAGAAGATGAATTAGCGGCAGTATTGCAGTATTGAACCTGGCTGAAGGAACTTCGTCCTGATTGAACCTTTGGACAAGGGTTTGTAGCCTAAACGTCCTTTTTTATATTTATAAATGTTCTTTGCAAATAAATCACAAGAACGGGTCTTTCCACCCATAAAGAATTAGAATGTGATAGCCTCAACACGATATCCTTATTGAAAAGAGAAAAAAATGCTTGAATAGTTGATCAAGAAAGACTAATACAAGTGATTGCACTAATCTTGCTACAAAATGAGTTGCTTTTACATTCCATCTAACCCTGTTATCCCAAGCTCTACCAAAATCAAATTCCAAGAATATCGTGAAAGGAATGTAAAGTAATGGCACATAACAATTTTGAGAATATCAATCCTCATTAGCCAAGCATTAATTTGTTTATGACAGGATTTGTGAGTGGTTACAAAATCAATGAACAGCCGTTATAACAAGCATTATATCCTGAATAGGTTGGGGTTGGCACCACCAATATACTTTTGGGTACCAGTATTTCAATTTACCACACAAGTGAGCATAGGTGTGTTTTGCAAGCGTTTCCACTATCAATTTAATTGATAACATCATGTATCCACACAATTGGATCCTTTTGAAATCCAATATCAATACAATGCTATTTGGTTCCCAAAAATGGGTAGATGTAGGCGTATATATATTTTATATAGAGGGGCTTAATCAAATGAGAACCCTACTGAGATTCATGAGATCCAATGTGAGCCACTCATTTAAGATAATTATTATTTATTAAATAAATATAGAAGGGTAATTTAGTAATAAAAAGTACAACTCATAAATGCATTTAATTAACTTATTCCCCCCAAATAGAAAATCCATAATTCCTCCATAAAAACATTATTAAAAAAATAGGTGGGCATAATTCCTCCATAATTTATTCCCCCCAATGTTTTTAGGGATCTTTAATTTTATTTTATTTTGGTTTTTTGTTTTTGGTGTTGTTGCGTCACATTGTGTTCATAAGGTGTAAAAGAATAGGTGGTCATAATGTTTAATTGAATGAGTATATTTGATAGTGGTTCACATTGTGATACTAAAGATTTTTGTTCCTGGGTTCACTGGAGATGCTTGATGGGTCAATTTTGGGTATTAATTTTGGGATTTGTAGTTTTTTTGTTCACATTGTGTTTTTGTGTTCAATTGTGATCACAATTTGTTACTTAGTGATAGTTGTTAAGTTACTTGTTCACAATGTGTTAGATTACTTGGTCACAGCTTGTTAGCTTTAGTTTTATTTTTTAGATTATGCTGTTAATGAGAGGAGAGAGGGGAGGAGCGAGAAAATTTGCAAAATACCCACAATAACCTTTATTTAAATTTTTAATTCAAAATTACCAAAATTTCTAATTTCCTAATTTAACCCTTAATTTAAGATTTATGGTTTATATTAGATCACAAGGATCTCACAGAATTGCACGGATCTCAAAGGAAGACCCCTATATATGTGTGTATATATATGTGTCCGTGTGCGTGTATATATATAGTTGGGTTCTGGTAAGAAATCGAAATCCCGTGAGAAGCATAAGAAGCACTTTGTTAGCGGAGGTTCACATAAGTTAACATGTTAACGTACATTAACATATGTTAACATTTCATGTTAAGGTATGTAATTTATTTTAATTTATGCTAACTTACATTAACATTTTCATGTTAAATTATATTAGCATTTCCATGTTAACATCTATAGAGATGCAACTAAATACTAGCACCCCTCTTTTCTCTTTCCTCCCTTTTTAGTAAATTTTATTATAACAAAAACTACGATTCTCATGAAAGTCGTGATCCCAATTCTCTCTCTCTCTCTCTCTCTATATATATATATATATATATATAAATAGAGGGAGAGAGAGAGTTTTGATGAAGAAATATTCCGGTAATACAATATTCAATATCAAAAACATGCACAACGACAAGAACAAGCTTTTCATCTCAAACTATTTGGTGCATCACATACATGCACCTGAAAAAGAGAATCACAAATAAGTAAATAAATACAAGTTAGGAGATCAATAATCACAGAACTAATGGAAATCATTAATCAAAATTTAAAAAATATGATATCTCATACTCATCAACCTTGCTTCTTGGTTATAATATGAGACAAAAATGGAAAAATGGGAAAACAAACTTAAAGATTTCCGTAATAAACATGTGGGTAACAAGCCTAATTAGTGGTTAGAGATCAACCATCCTTTCAAACAGGCAACAAAGAATCCAGCACTCCATTCATCCAAGCTGGATTCTCAAGTCATTACTCTCTCCCTTTTTGTTGAAATCGGATCATTAACCCCGGACAATAAGTTACATGATAGGTTCCAAGAAACAACTAAAATGAACTAGGGTTCTAAGGTTTCACACGAAAAGGAAAGCTAGGATTCAAGGGATTCATGCCCAAAATATAGACAACACACTCAAAAGTTGATTCACTCAACAAAGAGAACATATTTTTGACTTTGACACTTAATATGAATTTTTGAGGTCCTATTATGCTGATCCTCATCAGAATCATGCAGTCCCTTCTGGCATCAATTTAACACCATACATTCAGGTTTGCAAGTGGTGTGTATTCCCAACCACTCACTTTTTCAAACCCATATCTATCCTAGAAATGCTGCTGCAAGAAGCATCATACATCACATTCACTGACTTACAAGAATCGCTATAGTTCTAATACGTAATCTTGTATTTTATCGTAGGGATAGTTTACATCATTCTCAGCGTACAACTTGCTTGTAAGGATAAATATACCTTTATATAGTCGTGTATATGCATGAAAATGCGCTGAAGAACCAAAAAGGAATGCAACTATAATACAAAGAGGCAAACTTGGTGTTAAAACTTGCCATCCTAGGAAAAAAACCTCCTCTTATTTTTCCATTTAAGATGAGGTCGGATAACACTTCTAGAATCGTCATAATCTGTACGTTTCTTGGTAATTATCAAAGGCTGTGCAGAGTGCGTGCCCAAAAATCATACATAACCTGGGAGTCCAACTAAGCGCAATAAGTAGCTACTTGTTCAAGTTTTGTTCCCAGATCCTAGTGAGATGGAGAGCACAAAAACCCGACATGATCTACAAACTCAAGTCGCAATCAGCAATCCACCACCGAATTTTATTTAGTTTGTTACCGCTAAATTTGCAAAATGATGTGAAAAGTTATCCATCTAGATTACATGTGGATCTATGATGACTAATGACTAATGACTAATGACAAGAAAACAAAGTGAAAATTAAAAATCAATCCAGTAGTATACATTTATGGGTTTATCCATAGAAGGTCTAACTAGGAAACGTGTTCCATAAAGTCCAATCATGCTAGATGCAACGCTCCAAACTAAGGGCCTGTCTTGTTAGCAACTTAATGACCTTAATGGAACTCACAGTTTATTCAGTCAGCTATACATGACCGTTTGGTAGTGGATTAATCATATAGAAAGTGGCTTCACCAGTAAGCTTATTGGGGGGGGGGGGGAGCTTTATGCAGAAAGCCAAGTTTTTTTCCAAATCTTCCCCTCCCAATTAAAAAGCACGCTCCTTCCACCTATGAAAAAGACCTCCCAAACAAAAACCTTCTCAATCCATACATATTAATCCCCACAAACAACTTTATCCATTCAGGACTTAATGAAAAACCAACCATACAGCCCCTTAGTTGAGTCTAATTCCACCAATGATCTAATCATATCAATGAAATCCGAAAATTTGAGTTACAAAACTTTTCTAAGTTGTCAATCAACACCCTAACCACACAATGTTAAGAATCTATAAACTCATACAACCCAGGAATCAATCAAACTGAATTACAGAATAATTTAATAGTTCAATCAAACAAAAATGGGGGTAATGATCTCAATTCTCATTCCAAACAAATTAAATCCCTAAATGTATGAATGAGCATACATATCTACCATTTGAAAAATCAATTAACACATAGGGTAAACAAAAAAACCACAATTCTGAACAGAATTCAAAAAGAGGAAACTTACAGGACATGAGATACGAGAGTCCAACAACGCACATGAACAGAAAAACGATCCGTTTCTTGGCTTCATCGATAAGGTCTCGAGCCGTCACCGTTTGCCTGCCAGTGCTCATTTTGTGGGACTCTGATTGATCAATCAATCAACCTTCACCGCAATAAATCCATTCATATAATCCACTAAAATCGCGACCCAATCTTGAAATCTAATAGCGTCATCCGATCAATTCGAAAACAGAAAGGATCATAAAAAGAAGCCAAGAACACTGATTCAATTATAAATTGGAAAAAAGAAAAAAGAAAAAACCCACTTGGAAAATCGAAGGTTTTATACAATCTGATTGACTGGATGATTGAAAAAGTGAAAGAGACGGATAGTGTTTTATGGGAGTGTGCCGTTATTCTCCTTTTTCAACTTGGCTTCGAAAATGGCTGAATCCCAGTATTAGGTTTAAGGAGAGAGAGAGAGAGAGAGAGAAGGGGGGGTTTCTTCTCAAGAAGAGTCCATTTTCAAGAAATATATTTACTTAAAATGGAATTATAAATATATTTCTTATATCTCATCGATTTATTAGAAAAGATTTAGATTTGTATTCAAAATTTTGACAAGAAATAAGTAGGAAGGTAAATATGATCCTTATTTACCAACCACATATTGTCTAATCAGATCAAATTCTCTCTACCTGTAAGGATGGAACAACAGAAGTTTTAAGAATTCAAGAAAATGGGTCAGTCTGATTTGTTCTTTACGCCTAGTTTTGATACAGTTTGATTTATATCTGGTGTGGATGTTAAAGCTTTGAAAGAAAAAATATCTATTTGATAGGGTTAGATTCAAGAAATCAACTCCATTTAAGCTAAATATAAAGAAATCTGTGTTTGTATCTTTTGTTTCACAAACATATAAAAAATATTCTATTAAGAGGCAATATCTAAATCGCTAATAAGTTAAGGGCTGTTTACCAATGCTTACTTGGGTAAGCGTTTACCAAGTTATATTACCTTATCGGATGAATATGATAAGGACCAAAAATCTTACCCGGTAAGAACGAAGCAGAGACTGAGAGTCTGACCCGGTAAGTGAATGTAATGACTCTTACCACGGTCAGCTCTTACCGGGTAAATTGTTGCATAGAAAGCCGTTTTTGTTGACTAAAATCTTACCTGGTAAGCAAATAATCATATTGAATTTACCCGTAAGTGCTTACTGAGTAAGTGTTTGGTAAACGGTCCCTTAATCTTGTTTGATAAAAAAAATGTCTCTTAATGATTTTGTATTTTTGGGCCTCCCTTAACCATTCAGCGTCTTAATTTCATTATGAACAATTATCAAACAATTTTATTTCATTTTGCACTACATCATAAGAGTGTCTTAATCATTCTGATCACTTAATCATTGCACTAAACCATTCAACAACTGTCAAACAGTCCCTGAATATATATGAAATAAAAACATTGTGAAACAAATATATGTTAATTAATATATTAAATTATAACCTTAGATGGAAAAAAAAACCCATGTAAAACGATAGTTTACAATAATGGTCCTCACAAAAAATTAATTTATGATAACGAAACATTGTCTAAAAATTAATTTTCAAAAAATTGTCAAGTTTAGTCGAGAGATCGATTAACAACTACAAAAATTAATTAATTTATGACAACGAAACATCAGTTTCTTGATTTTCTCAAGTCGTATTTGATGTGCTTCGGCTTTAATTTGGTTCGTTTTTTCAAGTTTAATTAATGTAATAATTTTCCTTTTTTGTGTTCGATGGATTTTTCTTCCGTTTTAAATTCGTGAGGGTCCCAATTTCTTCATTGCCTGTTGTTTTCATTTCGATACACGTTAATTTTCATGTTAATAGAAGTTCATTTGTTTAAAATGAATTATTAGTTACATCTTTTAATTACAGATACAGTTAAAATGAAATACTGAAAACAAAATTTAGCGTTCATTAATGAACAAAAATATACATTTTTTCTAAGGTCTTTCAAAAAATAACAGAGTAAATTACATTTTTGGTCCCTATGGTTTGTTAATAACAATGATTTTTGTAAATCATTGTTATTTTCGTTCTTATGATTTATAATTTATTGTTGTTTTCAGTTCTTATGGTTTACATTTTTTTTTACTATTTTAGTCCCTTATACTTAAAAAAGTAAGAATTAGTTCAGAGACAAAAATAACAATAAATTACAAGCCATAATATGGATGTGTAGAAAATCAACCGATCCAATTGAAACCGACTGGTCTAATTAGACTTGACCGACCATAATAGGATATCCAATTGTAATTGGATCCGATCAAATTGAAAATTTCAACATCCAATTTGGATCCGTCGATTCTCCGATGGCAGTCTAGAACCAACCAGAACTGAACCGAACCGGCCAACATCCAATTAATCATCTGATGGCCATCCAGTTGTCTATCCAACCAACTATTATCCAATTAATTTATTTTCAAATTGCTTAAATCAGAATTTGTTGTATGTGAGCCTTTGAGTTTTTAACTTCCCTTGTGTTAGTTTTAACACATATTAAAAGTGATTAATCAATTTGTATCGTTGTTGGAGAATTGGATTGAATTAACACATTGGATGGATCTAATCACAACAGATCATTCATTAGATATGCAATGAATAGAGCCGAACTGATCCAATCATCCAATGGATTTGATTGGATCGGTTATCCAATGTTAATTGAATCGGATCTGTTAGTAAAATCCAACATCCAATGGATGATTGGATCGGTTCGCTTCCCTTCACATCCAATAGATGTCAACCGATGAACAACTCTAAACCATAAGGACTAAAACCGTAACTAAACCATAGGGACGAAAATGACAATTTTTAACAAACCATAGGGACGAAAAATGTAATTTACTCAAAAATAATATTAAGATTTAAAATAAAGCATGGATTTAACAAGTAAAAGGTTTAACTTTTTAGCCATCTCTGATTTTTGTTCTTCATAAAATAGTTAAGAAATCATAAGTCAACGTCATAAAACATTTTCCCTTGCGGTTTCTAACATTTTCTAACGCGTCCAGATAAAAAGTGGGCCTACCACAAAAACCAATTGAGACACCGCAGTTTGTGGCACTGCTAGGACATGCATCGACACACAAAAAGCAAACTAAACTCGCAGCTTACGATACTGCAAGAAAAAAGTGTCTTGTGATGTTGACTTGTGATTTTTTTTTTGACTGTTTTATGAAAGAAAAAGGTTTGGAAGTGGCTAAAAAGTAAAGCGTTTTAGCCTATGTGGTTATTTACGTTAATAACACCATTAGAAAACTATTATTCATTTATTTATTTAATAATTGTGATGGACAAGTCCTCAACTTCAACTAGGCAGTAACCTTAATCCCCGTCCCTGTTGTGGAATATGATCACGTCCTCATTCTCAATGGGAAATCAGAAAACCTTTTTCCTGTTTATGTGAGATATTTTAAATCAAATGTGTTAAACACTACATTCGATCAAAAATGGTTCATGTTTAAATCCCATGTATTTAAATTTTGATTTTTAAATTTAAATCAGAAAATGGGAAATTAGAAAACCTTTTTCCTGTACCCATCCCCGGTTTTTAAATTTTGAGGATCCCCATCCCTACCCCTGGTTCCAGTTTTACAATCTCTAGCCTCTCGAGAGGAATACACTGGGTTCCACAATGGAACAGGTCCTCATCCACATGTCTAACTTCAACTACTTTTGAACCTCAAAATTTTATTTTTCCTAAGTGTAACGGGTTGATTGGCAGTTGCTGAATGATTTAGTTTAAAATGATTAAGTGGTCAGAATAATTAAGAGACTCACATGATATAGTGCAAAATGAAATATAATTGTTTGGTAATTGTTTACGGCGCTGAATGGTTAAGGGAGACTCGTGATGCAAAATCATTCCGAGGGTTTTGAAACCATTAACATACATATTTTTTTTTATCAAACAAGATTCACCCCTTAATGATTCAGATATTATCTCTCAATGAAACTATTCAGAAGGTAAACAAACAAACGCTAACATATTCATTAAAAGATATTAACAATGGATTTTAGGTTATAATGTATAATAATATTATTGAAAACAACATTATTAGACATATAAAGCCTGCAATGATTTTGTATTGATTAATGATTCTTCCCATCTAACATATTGTTTTTTTGTGATTAACCTTTGCTTTTTGTCTTTTTAAATAAAATAAAATAAAATAAAATATTATAATTTTTATAATAATTTATAATTTTGCTTCTAAAACCAGGTTTCATAATTATGATGCCATTGAAAACCCACTTGGATTATGGCATACTCGTTAAGCCTCTATTAAATACACTGAAATTCTCATTTATCTCGAGTTCGAATCTAAACGTTACTAAAAACCTTTGTAGCCATGGAGGTTCACCTGCAATGACTCCAGACTATTTCGTAATCGCCTGGGGGATTAGTGTAAGCTGGCTTCGAAAGCATTGTAGTAACGATAGGTCCACATTAGACTAAAAAGTGGAGAACACTAAAATTGGTGAGATTCATAAGAATTTATACTTTAAGGTTTTGTTTTACATGATTTTTTTTCCTGTTCTAAGTATAGTATATTATATATTTATTAACATATATTTGTTTCATATTGTGTGTATTTTTTGTTTCATAAACATGCAAAAAAAAAAATCACATTGTAAATCGACTACATGTGAAACAAACACATTGTGATCATATAATATTACATGATAACTGTAGATAAAACATCTTATTTTTAAATATAAAAAATCTAAAATATAATTAGAATAATCATTGAGTTCTAACAAATTACTTAATTATTATATTTATAAAAAACTATATTATTAAATCAAAAATAAATTACTTCATTATCAAGTCTAAATTAAATTATAATAAAAAATGAATTAAAGAAATTACACAAAAAAAAAAACGAGAACTTTTAAATAGTTAATTTGATACTAATATTGACATAATTTTTTCAAACTTTTATGATATCTTCAAATTTATATTTTATTTATAAGTAAAAACATTATCATTTTCTCAAATAAACACATAAAACCGTATTATATCGACATAGATAAAGAACAAAACGAAACATTAAAATCGAGATGTATCTCGCTGCATTACAAGTACCATTCTAGCATATATAAACACATATTATTTTACTATTATTATTAATATTAAAGATGTTTTGGTGTTTTTTTAGTGTGGAGTTTAACCTGATTTTTTTAGTGTTCAATAGACCCACCATTTTAATGTTTTTAGTGTACAAGTTGGAGATGGCCTAACAGATCTACTTATAGGCTTACTCCAATGGGTGCCCACCCGACCCGACCCAACCTTCTTACAATCTTACCTATCAATATTAAAATCTAGAGTAAACTACAAATTCAATCGCATCCATATAGTTTTGAAATTACAAGATAGTTATTGTGGTTTTAAAAATCGCTTGGATTTGATATCTCCTTAATAGCTATTAAAAATTCCATTAAATGAAAGGCATTTTCGTCATTTTATCAATTTTGTTTTTTTATACAAAAAAACCTCTTATTCAATAAGACATAAGTGGTGAAACAAAGTTACTTTCCAAAAAAGAAAAACAAAAAGCACCAAACACAAAGAATAGTGGCTTAAAACCACAAGGGTGATGCCTGATTGGTTTGAGCTTGGCTCCAAAGGTCAAAAGTACCAGGAGGTCCCAGGTTCAAATCCAAAAATGAATAAAAATCCCCTTGTGGCCACGAAGGTTCAAATGCGGTGACTCTGAAACTATCTGCAAAGCAGGTGGTCGTCCTAGGATTAGTCGGCTCGCATAGCGGGTTGGATATCCAGGTTAATAAAAAAAAAACAGTGGCTTAATGAACTCTGGGGTTTACTCTTAAAACCAATTTATAGTTAATTGTACATGTGGGAGGGTCAATAAACCTAAACCATCATCATCTAAAATGTGCTATGTATGCTCTCATTCTAATCATATGCCTAAAGCTCATCTTTTGGAATTTGCTGCTCATCCTGTGCCTCTGCCTCTGCTTTTAGATGTTTGTTGATCAGTATTGCCAAATCCTTGGCACTAGACTTTGTAGGCATCTTGATCTGCAAATACGGCAAAGTTCGGCATGTTAGAATATGCATAACATAACCCTATTAGATTACTCGCCAAAAGAGCTCTTAAGAAGAGAAGGCGGTTTTCAACGTATAAAGAGAAGATATGGTCCAAGTCTGGCAGATATGTGACTGTAACATGACCTCCAACAGAGGTTATGCATGCATATATTGTCCCAAAGGGGGTTACACGAGTATAAATTGTCCTAGTGGTAGACCTTGGCTCTGATACCATGTGAGATATGTGGGACCCTCAGAAGGGGGGTTCCAACATATATAGAGAAGAACTGGTCCAAGTCTAGCAGATGTGAAACTAGTAAACTTTTGCTCCGATATCACGTGATAATATGTGGAGAACCACCCAGATTTACTCTACAAAAGAGTCTTTGAAGAGAAGGGAGGTTCCAACATATGTAGAGAAGAAATGGTCCGAGTCCAGACAATGTGGGAAGGGTGTGTTCCATACCCAGATAAGACATCACAATTGTTCAGCGTTTGGTATGACTGGACAAACCCCTGGTGAGTTGGTTATATCTTTTTTATGTTTTGATTAATTTATGTAATTTATAATAAAATAAATATTTTCTATAACAAAATATACCATCAGAAAGTTTTCGTCAAAATAATTAAAATGACAAAAAAATATGAAGTTTATTAACATCCAATTTTAAATTACATAAATTAACCAAAATATAAAAATAATATTTTGAGGAGAGTAAAGTGAAAGTTTAACGAGAATAAAGTACAATAAATAAAATTTAAATAATGGATAAAATGTAAAGACAGGGATGTATTTGATGTTTAGAAGAAAATTAAGTTTTATTTTGAGGTTATATTGGTAAATATAGGTCTGTTCCATGGGGTGGGGGTGGAGCACGCCTGTTCCACTTTGTTCTATTATATTTTTGTCTGTTCCACATGAAAGTCATGTCAAACATAGAGCAGTAATCTCTGTTCCCTTCTGTCCTGTTCAGTGTACCAAAAACACCCTAACTAATGTCATAAAGAAGCAAATCACTCACCGGATTCGACTTGTTGCTCCCAGGGTAGAACAACAATGTTGGATAATCGTCCACCTGCGGATCAATAACACACCCAATCAGGAAAATTATGTCCTTCCCTTGTGCAATTCGCAAAGTGATCTTAGAACACTCACCTCCAATTTCGGGTGCTCGTTTACAGACGCGTCAATCTTTGCGAAAACCATATTTTCCAACCCCTTGAAGTGTTTTGCCAACTTCTCTACTTGTTTGCTTGTAGTTTCACAGCTCAAGCACCATGGTGTGTGTATCTTTAATACAATCAGCAATATAACAATTTAATCAAGACCTTAATTGAGGAATGAAAAAAAAAAAAGATGTATAAATGAAGTGTGAGAATATGTGGAACCCCATTAGATTACTGTCCAAAAGAGCCCTTGAGGAGAGGAGGGAGGTTCCAGCATATATTGAATAGAAATGGTCCAAGTCTAACTGATGTGGGACTTTAACACACCCCCTCTAACGAAAAAGCTAGACAGGTACAAATCATCTCAAAGTGTCAAGAGGGGGCTAGATAGGTACAGATTGCACCGGGTATTAGTTAGAAATTTTTTTGAGTGGTGGCACCATTTGACTATAAGAAACAAATATAGGTATATTTTTCACATAGTCATCACTGGTGTGTTGGTTAGTTCATTGCTTTTTCATATGTGAGGTTTTGTGTTGAAGTCTCTTATGGCAAAAAAATCCAGAATCATAATAAATCTGAAATTAAAAGCTAAAAACTAAGAAAATGACGCTAACGGGATTCAGGGTGGAACAAAAGCCTTGCAAACCAACTCTACCAAGGGAGACTTGTGTCCTTATTGTAGTTTAAAAATATATATGGTGGCAAACAACAAAATGATACAGTGACACTTGTCACGACCCTATAATTTTTTACACTACGACAGAGGAACGAACCGGTGGCCCGTGCCACCATGTGCACTACACTGGGTCCGTGGGTCCGTCCCTGGTGTCAAGAGTCCCTAAAGTGGTGCACCTCTGATACCATGTGAGAATATGTGGAACTTCATTAGATTACTCTCCAAAAAGGCTCTTGAGGAGAGGAGGAAGGTTCCAACATATATTCAAGAGAAATGGTCCAAGTCTAACATATATAGGAATCTAACATGAAGAATGATACTTCTAAATCGTGTAAAGAAAGCTTACGAACCTCTAGAACGATGTTCTTAGAGCTTCTTAGGATCAAGTCATCAAATGTTTTCCCAACAACGGTTAGAACGTCTGCACCTTTCTGCGATTTCATAATCAAGATGATGATTAGTTTTAACCATGAAAGATGAATATGAATCAACACCCCATCCCAAAGTGATGAATTCATTCAGTAGGGGCAGGTACCGTTAGGAACCTAAAGTTGATTAGGAATTGGGGGACCATCCACAGCGTGACACGTGGCATATTCATACGTGATATGGACGTGTTATTCATCATGAATGTCGTAATATATTTATCATGAATGCGTGATTCATGATGAATAACCTCCATATTCATCATGAATGTGTTATTCATGATCAATATTCATCCTAAAGATATACACGTGGCATGCTATGGGCGATTCCCGGGTTCATAATCAATTTTAGGTATCTAACGGAACTTCCCTCTCGTTCAGTAATCTCCAAATCAACTAAAACCATGGTTAGAAGTTATTTCTAGCTCACATTATCTGGTATTGCTTGGGACTTGTAGAACGGCGGCAAAGTACCCTTTAGAAGCCTCGAGCAAAACTCCTAGAAGAAAAAATAGAAAAAGAGAAGTCAGATTCACTTTGCATAGAAGTAACATTAAAGATCGAAGTGATCAAATCAGTACTTCTATTCTTGCGGGCGTTGGATCCGACTCTAACAAATACTTGGCACCACTTTTGTAATCGAAGGCCGTCACCTATTAAGCACAATCAAAAATCATAATATCTTCAGTAAATCTTGAAATAACTCGGAGAAGCAAGATGCTTAATTGGGTTTGAAAATGTTCGTTTTATAGACGAAACTAACAAGAGTCTCTTCTGATTCTTCCAACCCAAATAAAGTTAGGAACGGCTTTGCAAGGTTGTCGTCTTTGATGTCTATAAATACAAACATAATCTGCAGACACAAGACGAAAATTAAGAAATGTGATGATAATACGAGGTTTAGGATATGGCAAAATATACAAGAAACTAAACCAAACTTTGTTGCATTTTGCCCTTCAGGATAAGTCTAGTTTCACGATTCCGAGTTGCCAACCTTTGATTTGAACTTCCTAGCGGCATCTTGAAATGGCTCTAGTAATTTCTTGAAATCATCAGCTTCGGCAAAGACATAAACCTGAAACAAAGATACAGATTATCAGGAACTTGAAAATGCCAAAAACAATGAACACCCGCATGGAAAAATGCTCGATTTAACAGTAAATCATCTTCAAGATTCAACGATGTGAAAAGAAAACAAAATGAACTCCTAAAGTGACGGAAACCTGAAGTTTATCACTGGAGTAAACTTTGGCAGAATTCACTTCGGTCAGGAAAGTGACCAACGGGAACTTGTTATCGTTCAAAAATTGCAGAATCCCGTCCTTCGTGAAAGCATCTTCTGCAAAAGCCAAAGTTCACTTGCTGTATGCAATTCATGTATGTCGACTTGAATGGATTTTAGACTATGAAAATCTTCACTTACCATATAAAGTGTATCGTTCTGGCTCACTTTTAACAATACCAAGAAATGCGTTAGTAGATTTCACATCTGGAAATAAAATATCGGCAATTTGGGGGCTGCTCGTTTCAACAAATTGAATCTCGTTGTCTGTAGTTGCTGCGTCTACAAATTCTTCGTAATCAGGTCCCTGATATATTATAGACACATATAAGAGTTAAACGGGAAGAAAATGAGCGATTAAATGCAATCTGAACGTCTTAACATGCTATGAACTGTCTGAAACTCCAGACCACATCTACGTGACAATCAAGATTCTTTTCTCCTAATGCATATAGATCTAACATTTACGCTACATTTGGCAACTAGCTGATCCAACTACTGACTGATAAGCTAGCCGCTAGCTGAAAATCTAGCTGATAAACCAGCTATATTTGGTAAAACTAGTTGATAAACTAGACGACAATGTAAAATGAGCAACAAGGACATGTTGAAAAATTAATTGGAAGCTAGCTTATGGCTAATCAAACATGGTCATGGCCTTATAACAGGTTCCAAAAATCGACTCCATGAAAGCCGAGATAATACAATTACTTCCAACAACGACCCGCGAAATGGCGTTATTTTGAGCAAAGAGTTGATAACCGACAACCCCGACCAGCCCCACAAGGAACCCGCCCCCTAGGAACCAATTTAAGGAGGCATTCTAAAGCCGACTCAGTGACTAAGGCTAGCAGAGGGGTTCAAGGCATCTGCCTATTCGAACTTGAACCTGTTGTGCATTTAAGCAAAGTCGGTCCGCCCCTTGTGAATTCATGGAATTTGTTTCACATAGTTCTTCATGGATAAAGGTGTCTGTGTGGATTAATCTGTTTGTAGAGATTGGAAAGGTTTTTGTTTGGGATGGTTTTTTCATTCATGGAAGGAGTGTGTCTTTTTATTGGGAGGGGCAGGTTTGGAAAAAACTTGGCTTTCTCCCCCTTAAAAGCATACTGAATAAGTCCATGTTTGCTAGCAACTTAATGAGCTTAATGGGAGTCACAGCTTATTCGGTCAGCTATACATATTGTTTTGTAGTGGCTTAATGATATAGAAAGTGACTTATTCTAAGCTTGTAGGAGGGAGCTTTATGCAGAAAACCAAGTTTTTTCCAAACCTACTCCTCCCAATTAAAAAATATGCACATTCCATCTATGAAAAAACCATCCCAACCAAAAATCTTCCCAATCCTTACAGACAGATGAATCCACAAAGACTAACTTTATTCATACATGATTTAATGCAACCAACCAAACAGCCCCTAAGTCACTTTCTATATCATTAAGCCACTACCAAACAGTCATGTATAGCTAACCAAATAAGCTGTGAGTCCTATTAAGCTCATTAACCTGCTAAGAAACATACCCTAAGGGGCCGTTTACAAAACACTTACTCGGGTAAGCGCTTACCAAGTCACATTACCTTACCGGATGAATATGGTAAGGACTAAGAATCTTACCCGGTAAAAGCGAGACAAGGACCATGAGTCTTACCCGGTAAGTGAGGGCGATCGACTCTTACCACGGTAAGCGCTTACCGGGTGAATTATTGCATACAATGTCGTTTCGATGGACTAAAATCTTACCCGGTAAGTAATTAATAGTGTTAAATTTTACCGGTAAGCACTAACCGGGTAAGTGTTTGGTAAACGGCCCCTAACTATGATACAATAACTTTTCACCTTCTGTTGCTTTTCAAGATCCTACCAATGCGTTTGCAAATACAATAGTTTTCTGAGTAATTAACAAACAAAAACACAAAATCACATACCTCAAATTTATCAAATAAACCAGCTGCAAACACAGAATGTTTCTTGAGGAAATCATTAGCTTCATCAATGGAGTTGATTCTAATAACAGGTGTACCAGTCTTCTTCCTTACCCAAATCACCATTTCTTCCCTAATTCACAAACAAAAACCCAAAACACAACAAAATCAACAAACCCATTTACCGTTTCACACACAAATTTCTTTCTTCAATGCTTTTCCAACCTTCCAATTAGAAATACATACATAATCACATAAAGATCATGGGGAAATCAAGAAATCTTACGATGAAAATCCACCCGTATAAGATTGAGAAGTGGCATTGATGAAAAGAAGCAAAGTTGGATACCCTTTGATCCCAAGATTCGAAGCTACTTTTGGGTACCTTTCAGCATCAATCTTTGCCATTAAAATGGGATTCTTCAGTTCATTCAAAGAACTAGCAGCTTCTGCAAACCTAGGCATGAGTTCAGCACTTCTAACACACCAAGGTGCATAACCCAGAACTAAAACAAACTCATTTCGATCGATAGCCATCTGGGTATTATCATTATTGAGTTCCAGAACTATTCTTTGAGCTTTGGTCAACAGCTCCGCCTCAGACGACGGTTTAGGGTGGTGGGTTCCGTCGCTTGCTGGTGACGACTGTTCTTCTTCTTCTTCGTCTAATGCTATAAGATCTTCAATGTCGTCGGAATCTTCGTTGGCTTTTGAATTAATGATAAAAGTGAGTGAAAGGAGAAGGATTATTGTGAGATAGATGAATCTTGAAGTGGGTTTTGGAGTAGACATCATTCGAAATGAACTCTGATTGAGATCTGTATAACTGGGTGGGTGAAGAAGGATCAAGATTCAAGATAATTATGTGTAGAAGAAGAAGATCTGTGTGTGAATTTGGAAGTAGAATGATGTAAAACAAAAATGGCGGAATGGGGTAAGAAATACTGCTTTTATCTTCCCGGGAGACGTGCAGTGACTAACGGGATCCCTGTTTCGATTGTCCCCTTTTTCTTTCTCGTCTTGTGAACCCTGTTTGGAATTGCTTATTTAAAACTGGTTTTTTAAGAGATTATTAATTTATAGAGAGGTAAATTGGAGTTTTATAAAAAATGTTTGAATTAGTTTATGCGTTACCATACCAGATAAGTTGATAAAATAGATGAGATACATTTTTCTTTTCTCATTTAAACACTAAAAATTCTTTATTGCTAGCATCATACCGGAATAAGTTAATAAGTTATATAAGTAGCTTTAAAAACCTCGTATTACCTGTGCCAACCCGGTGTAAGAATTTTCTTTTTTTCTCCATCCAAAACAATAAAAACTCTTTATTATCTCACCGAAATAAGTTAATAAGCACTTTAAATAAGTAATCCCAAACACTCTCTAAAAAACTAGAGTTTGGTATGCATATATGATTGGATAAGAGGATAAAAACTTTGTTTTTTTGGTGGAACACGATTTTTTTTTTGTCACATGTTATCCCATTTTCTCTTTGTTCTTGTATTGTACTAAATGTGGGGCAATAAGTTTTTATCATATCTCATGTTACACCAAATATGAGACAGTTACTGCTCATGTATCAAATATACCCTAAATAATTGTACATATATTCATTTGTGCATATTTGTTATTAAAAATATGTATATTCCATTGATATAAGTACTATTTTTTTTTTTTTGAAATTATTGATAAATATTACTATCAAAATATATATGTTTTGATCATGGTTTCGATCGGTTAGGGTTAGACAATCACACATTTATCACAACGATTACTCATGGTTTCGATAGGTTATGGTTACACTCGATTGATTATGGTTTCGATAGGTTATGGTTACACAATCACACAATTATCACAGGGAAGGAGAAGAGAGTGGAAATGAACGTGATCAATCCAGAAAGAAAAAAAAATATAATTAAAATTAATTGAAATAAAATAAAATATATAAAAATTACTGCTCTTATTAATTTATTTATATTTAATATAAGTTAATTTATTAATTAAAAAAGTTTGAGGTTATTGGATTGTTCTCGCGTTCTTGTAAATCACAGGGGTTCTCTTTTGAACCTCCACATATATATATATATATATATATATATATATATAATGTATGTAGTATGTGTGAGTTTCTTGGTCAAGTTAGTTAACATATATAAATCATAGATCCACATAGAGAAGGATATTTTATTACCACACCAACCAACATTTACACATGTTTAAACTTACTAAAAATGGCAAGTGTTGACTATAAGAATTCAACCACATCTTTTGATCCATTTTATGGGGGAAAGAATACAACACATATTTGATCAAAACTCACACCATTTTTACAAATATATCTTTCAAAAGGATTTGGTTCTTGAGAGGATCATTTATTTATAGGTGCAAGAACTCTTTTTGAACTTGGTTGGTTTGATTGTATTTGATTTCAAGATCAAAGTGCACGAAATCTGCCTTCGGTGCTTCGTCGTCACTAGTTTACCGACAACTTCCCCTTTTGATCGGATCTCAAACTCTAACCTTAACGGGATTTCAAAAACTCCGGCATCAGAGACCACTAGACTTGAACCCGCACCATATAAGGGTACTTTAGTTGCCTCCAAGCTCACGGTGGCCGTTCTACGACTCTTTCTTTGCTGATAATACTTCTTCAACTGAGATCACAACAACCAAATTAGTATATGTAATTCATGGTGGAACCCCGTTAGATTATCCCTTTTTAATAGAGAGAAGATGGGTTTTAAACATATACACAGAAGAAATGATCAAAGTCTCGCTAATATGAGATTCTAACACATTACAGAAACAAACTGTTTCCAAGAGTCAAGAGGGGGCCAGACAAGTGCATATTGTCTCAAAACGTTGAGTCCCTAGAATGACGCAGGTTCATAGAAAAACCACAAAAAATAGAAAACTGAGAAGCACACTAATAACCCTTCATTTGTCCAGTATGCACATGTGCAGATAAATAATTGAAAATGTTTCCAAGTTTCTATTCACATGTGCATATACCGAATAGTTACTTGTATGTATATATGCATACCAGACGAATGAACGATTATTAGGGTGTTCTTCCGTTTTTTTTCATTTGTTTTGGTTTTACCCCGTACTCAACCCCCCCCCTCTCTCTATATATATAAGAAATGGAAATCTAGCCGATCCGGACTCGAACACATGGTTCAGTCCATTCTGATATACAAGTACAACAGTTGATTGTTGGTCCTAACCTGACCAGTTGCAATTACGACCTCCGAATAGACTAGATTCACCGGGCTAGAGCTAACATGGATGCCAAAGAACGTAGCCGGGTTGTGAATACCGAGCCGCAATGAACCATTGATGGTCAGCATCTTGGTTATGACCCCAGATGAGTCTGAACCCTCCCCAACATACAGGCTATTCACAGCCAAACTCTGCAACAAATGCATACATACATACCATCATCACCAAAACAAGAATCCAATTAAAACCCAACTCAAGATTCATTCCATGAGAGTGAGGTTTAAAGGAAACCCCAAAAAGAACTGAATTTTTTTTGAACACCTTCGTAACCATTCATCCGGAGTTTTGGACGGTCTCTGCATGTTATGCACATATGCATACCGGACAAATTGGTTACAAATTACTTGTATGCACATGTGCATACTATCCAGATAAACGGTTATCTAAACATTAACACCATGATCTTCAATGAAAACAGGATTCATGAACAACTTTCAACATAAAATGGATTTGGGAATTGATGGGAAATCAATCAAGATATAAATTAAGAAGATTTTATCGAACCTTAACAGCGATATCGGCTTTAAAAGGTCGAGCAGCACCCCATATAATCAAGCATAAAACAGTGAACAAGACAATGAAAGTGAGTAGAGCCATTAAAGCCTGTAATCTTCTAGTAAACCTCTTTTCATCATCATATTCATCATACTTCCCTTCTTCCACAATCACATTACACTCCGGCCATCCTTTATCATTCCTTTTCCGGCCAACTTTCCTACCGGAATGTGACCGGAAAATCCCAGAAAACCGACTGGATGATGAGTTTCTTGAGTGACGACCCACAGAAGGGTGTGAAGGTGACTCCATTGGACTCCTGAAATTAGGTGTAGCTTGAATTGATGATGACTTATCACCATCCTGTGAATCCCTTGATGGGCTCTGCACAAAGTACACCGGTCGTTTTGGTGATCTTGACGGCGATGATGGAGCTAAACTTGTGATATCAGACTCTGATTTTGTGTGCAACATCATAACAACAGTTCTTTAAGCTTTTCAAAACAACAAAGTGTTTACAAGATCAAAAGTTTAACCTCTACTCCATGAAATTTGGAGAAATTTTGCAGAGCATTTGGGAATTGAAAATCTTGAAAAACCCACAAATTACACCAACGATTCAACAAACCCTGAATTCAAAACTGTGATACAAACCAAGAACATCAAGAAACAAAACCCTTTTGCAAAATCGACTACACCAAAAAGCAAAACCCTCAAAAAGAAAACAATCTGATGGCCAAGATTATGAAAACCCTTTTCGTTTGTTGCAAATTTGAGTCTACCAAACAGCAAAAGAAAAGATTACGAAAACCTAAATAGGGTTTTATCCTGCAGACACCAAACACAGAGGTAGTGTGTGTTGTTTGGTGGTGTTTTGAGTGGGTGAAAATGGTGTATTTGCAAGGTGCATGAGTAGGACCAAGGAGTGAGCTGTGAGCAGGGAGTAAAGGAGGCAAGAGTCCCCATCATCAAACAAATAATTACCGAACCTGAATCCGAGGCTGCTTCCAAGCCTACAATGATTCTTGAATCAAGAAAAAGCCAACCCAAAGTGTCGGCAACTAACCTTCCCATTTCGATATTATAATCAAGATTTTTAACCATTAGTAGTAACCTTTGAGCTTTCGATTATTTTAATAATAAATACATTGCTATATATCTTCCTTAGCTCAACCCAATACAACTCATTCATATGATATTCATAGAAAGTGGTTTCCTTTTATTTGTTTGGATCCATAAATTTTTGGGTATTTTAAACTATTCAATTAATGTTTAAGGATTGCTTATTAAAAATTAAGCATGTTAATCATTGACGGACTCGTAGCACAGACGGTAGTTTCATGATTTTGTCGTAATGGAAAAAATTACGTTTTTTAAGAATGTTACTGTATTGTTTTACTGGATGTCACAGTATAGTTTTTGAAACTAATACTTTGAGGTAAGTCGTTAAGCATAGTTGGTAAATATTGCTCACTTTGTACGAAAAACCATGGGTTTGAGTCCCACAGATAATTGTTCATTGCTTGGGTTGTTAGGAAACTCTGAGGGCCAATTTTCTAACAAGATTGTGTCACCACCAAGGACGGACCCAGTTTTTTTATCCAAATAGTGACACCATTTGACTATAAGAAACGAATATAGAAAACAAATTTCAAATAGTGTCACCACTTGACTATAAGAAAACAAATATAGGAAGAAAAAAAATCAAATGGTCACACCATTTGACTATAAAAAATAAATATAATTAAAAAAATGCAAATGATGACACTATCTGACAAAAAAAATGATATTAATGGGATTTGAACTCAGGTCTATGGTAAAAGAAAATTCTTACAAACCAACTCTATTAAAGAAAACTTGTTCTTATTATAAATTCAAAATACATACAATAACACACAACAAAGTAATACGGTTGCATTTTTCACGAACCTAATTTTTTTATTTTTTATTTTATATTTTAATTTTAATAAACAATTATACTAATTTATATACTGTTGTTGGGAATAAAGTAGCATAAAAGTACATTGAATGTAGAGAGAGTATGAGCAGAATGACACATATTCAGTTTGTATTATTTGGGGATTCATTTAAAACAAAAAATCTCATTTTTTGGAAATTAAAATATAAAACAGGAAAAATATATGATACCATTATTAATTCCAAAACTAATACATCAAGCAATTAATTTTTTTTGTATTTATTTAAATAATAAATAAAAAAGCAACAAATTGTTTTAAATTTTAATATATTTAAATTTTTTGAAGAATTGAAACTTTTGTTATAGAAAAAACAAAACAGTTTTGTAATTTTATTAATTATCAATTCTTTAAATTGGAATGTATTTATATACAGGGGTCTATTCAAGAAAAAATTGATTAGTTTGTGGTAACATCACAAATCAAATGTTAAATTAGAAAATTAATAATTTTGGTAATTTTAACTTAATATATTAATTAAGGGCATTTTAGGGATTTTATAAATATCTTCTCATCTCTATTCTTTCCTCTCTCCGACGTATCTTATTCGGCGAACCTTATTTTGATAAACATTATGTGAATACAAGATACACATTGTGATACCCAAATATACGTACAAGATATACAATGTGATACATTTGTAAGACAATGAAAATAACGAAAATGCACACTATGATATATTTCATAAAATAAAGAAAATACATTGTGATACATGTGAAACTTTGTGAATGTTATCACGATGATATACTTTGATTCACAAACATCTTTAAAATGCAACGTATATTAGGTAATTGATGTACTAGGTAACTAATTTTAATTAAATATTTCTTTTCTGAAAAACTTTAATTAAATATTTTGATTAGTTGTCAATAATAGAATGACTATATTACCCTTTTAACTTATTTAAAAAATATTCTTAAATATTTCAAACGAGTGGTTCATATTGGATCTCACGATTACCACAAATTAAGCCAACGACCATTTTTTTGTTAATTTAAGACCTCCAAAAAAATATATTAGAGCGGGTGGACGTGCAACTGAGCCTTCTTTTAGGTCCATCATTAATCCAAATAATTCTTCAAGCACATGCCACACTCAATCGACTCTGAGATAAGTCTTGTCCTCCAAAATGAGACAATCTTGTCACATGATTTCTCGAGGTGAGACCTCAAGCCCTCAACATCGAGTTTTCTCCTGTCCAAATGACACATTTCGCACCTTTTGCATCGTGTCTTTTGTTTCCAACAGAACAACCAAATTGAATCCATCCCAAACGCCGAAAGTCGTTTGTGCTCGGCAAGGACATGAAAAATGGGGATCAACGGATGATGAAACGATATTGTCAAAGGATTTCATTTACGGAACACAAACACAACATTAATAACGAAGATTGAGAGCTGAAACCAAAACACGAGAGCCGAAAATCACGAATTATAACGAATACTTTTAGCATTTTTGCATTTGAGAGTTTGATAATTTTTTCAACATTCTAAAACACTTGTATATGTCTCTTGCATGGTCAAATGGACCAAAATCAACCGTTCTATCAGGGATTTTTTAGCCTACCCTATGCGCGGATCCCTTAACCAATTTCTCAAAGAAAAAAACTGTAATCGACCAATCCCAACCTAGCCTTGTCGGTCCTAATCCTCTTCATTGCGGTTCATCTTACCTTATGCTTAGACCCTATTTGACCATCTCTAACCGCTTAATAATCAAAACCAATTTATGAAGTAGACCGACCTTAACCAGTCCAACCAAACCTTATCGGTCATAATCTTGTGTTCAGTTTTATTTTATGCTTAGACCCTGTTGACCTATCTCTAATTAGTTAATAATTGAAACCAATTTACAAAAGTGGGCCCGATCCAAACCGATACTCATCTTTAAAAGAGGGTAGAAACAAGTGGGATCATAATGGGCCCAAAAAGACACTTGAAGCCCATCTTCAACTAAACTTAATGGGTCATGTGGGCCTAAAACATGTTCTTTGTTGGCCCATGTGGGGACTGTCCTCTATAACTTGTACTAACGTTTTAGCCCAAATAGATGGCTTGTGGTAAATATTGGGCCTAGGAATGTCCTCAAATCTCAATGCCTAAAAATATAGAATTATGATTTTTCATTTGACAAATTAAATAAAACTGTTGTTTATTTGTTGAACGGAAAATTTAATACGACGGTATCGAGATTCTTAAAATAAATAGTAAATTCAAACTTTGGCATGAACAGTTTCATACTGTGTTAGGTTATATAAATAAGCATGACTTAAAATTCAGTATTATAATGTTGTACTTTTTAATTATTTATTTGAAAAGTTTACTCATTACAACAATCTGTAACTATATATATATATATATATATATATATATATATATAT